ATAGGGCACTCAGGAGGGAGCCTCGCTACTCCTGCAGCCTCTTGCTGCTCACTGAGGGGAAGGGGCAGGTACCTTTGGGTGGCTGGGACCACAGCCACTGGGGAAATGATTCCAGTCTCACCCGCAAAGCCATCTGCTGACAGCAGGTCCCTTGGAGGCCCTGAAACAGCAAGGAGAGTTAGCACCTTAATGAGGTGTTTTCTCACCTGGAGACACAGGCTCTGGGGGGCAGGATGCAGACTGAGGTATGCACTTGCAGCCTTTCTCTATCTGCTTAATATCCCACTGAAAATATGATCCAAACAGGATAAACAGCAACTAAATTCCCTGCAGAAGCATATAAGAAGTTCTTATAGTTACAGCCCATAAACAGCAAAAAATCTATCCATTTCTTACCTAAGGCACTTTTGTTCACTGAAAATATTACAGCCTAAAAACAAATACGATTCTAGGGCTGAAACCACATAAAGTTAAAAAACTAAAGGATATTATGATTCACCTTTGATTAGCCAAGAAAGGAATGCTCCCATCAGACTGAGAAAGGCAAACACTTTCCCAGACCTGTGTTTTCTTTGGTCCACGACAGTTCTTACCATAGCTGCCAAACGATAGGTCACTTAACATCAGCTAAGGACAGGACTGTGGGCAATTCAGATGTTCTGTTATTACAGGTCAAAGCCTGTTACAACTACTACTGCAATAAAAACCATCATACTGAAATAAAACAAAATCTAAGCACACTCCATAATCCATGTATTTGGAGCAGCACTGACTACACTCAATGAAATCCCGACAAAAACCAAAGAATTTGGACCGTTGCCAGATACCTTACTATAAGACTGAACCTACAGGTCATAAGATGTGCTGTCAGTGGTGACGTGGGTTCTTTGGACTAACCACAGCAGAAGCCTTCTCCAACCTATATCTTGCTAATAAACTAAATTATTCAAACGTCCCTATCAAAGGCCACTGTGGGCTAAAAAAATAAGGTAAGGTATGAAAATGATATTAAAATTAGGAGACACACATAGGGACACTGAGAGGGCAATGACAGCAGCCATGGTTACAAGGTCACCACATGCACACCATGGACAACATCAACCTGCTGCAGCCCATCCCCAGCACCCGTGGAACCAGGCCCCAGTGCAGCCCGTCCCCAGCACCTGTGGAACACAGGCGCCAATGCAGATATGAGGATGAAATCATGGATGCGTGATGGGGATGTTGCAGCAAGGGGCTAGAACCCCAGGTAGGGTCCACAGGAAATCCAGACAAAGGAGAAGAGAGGGCGGTGGTTGCTGGGTACTGGTTAGTGCCCTACGGCCCATCCTGAGAAAGTGAGTGACATCACCCCACTGCAGGGGTAGGAAAGCAGAAGTTTGGAGTGAAGGAGTGCCTGGCATAAAACCACTGGCAGATGCTTGATGGGGTCCTAATGTGGAACCTTCCAGGGATTCTCCAGGACCACTCCAAAGAAGGAGTGGTGCTGGTGGCTCCATACCAATATCAGATGACTTTAAACTCTAGAGGTACAAAGTATCACTCTTCAGGCTGCCAAAGCTCTTTGATAAAAGAATCTCACTGATTAAGCATCCACTGCCTTTGTTTTAATTCTGGACTTAGTACTTTGCTAACATGGTTAGGGGACACACCTACCCACTAGGAAAGAAACACCCTGGCCCCAAACATCAGGTCAGAAGTAGCTCTACTTGTAAATTTAAAAGCCCAGACATCTATTCAAATGGCCAAAAAGCACATGAAAAGATGTTCAACATCATTAACCACTGTTGTTGTTGTTAGGTGTCGCTCAGTCAATTTTGACTCACAGCGACCATATACGACAGAGTAGAACTGCCCCGTAGAGTTTCCTAGGCTGTAATCTTTATGGGAGCAGATTGCCAGGTCTTTTCTCCCACAGAGCTTCTGGGTGGGTTTGAACCACCAACCTTTCGGTTAACAGCCTAGCACTTAACCACTGTGCCACCAGGGCTCGTTTCATTAACTATTAACCCACTGCCGTCAAGTCAATTCTGACTCATAGCAACTCTACAGGACAGAGTAGAACTGCCCTGTAAGGTTTCCAAGGCTGTAAATCTTTACAGAAGCAGACTGCCGCATCTTTCTCCCATAGAGTAGCTGGTGGGTTCAAACCACCAACCTTTACGGTTAGCAGCTGAGCACTTTAACCACTGCGCCACCAGGGCTCCTCTCATTAACCATTAGGGGGACGCAAATCAAAATCACACTATCACCTAAGTCCCATTAGAATGCCAATGATAAAAACAAAAAGTGGAAAACAACATGTGTTGGTGAGGTTGTGGAGAAACTGGAACCCTCATCCACTGATAGTGGGAATGTAACATGGTACACAACCAGTGTGGAAAATAGTGTGGTGGTTCCTCAAAAAGATGAACATAGAACTACCATTATGAGCCAGCAATCCTAACCCTAGGTATATACCCAAAAGTGAAAGGAAGAACACAAACAGAAACCTGTACACCAGTATTCACTGTAGCACTTTTCACAACAGCCAAAATGAGGAAACAACCAAAATGTCCATTAACAGATGAATGGATAAACAAAATGTGGTATATGCATACAATGGAGTACTACTGAGACACAAAGAGAATGAAGTCCTGACGTATGCCACAATATGGATGAACTTTGAAAACATTATGCTGAGCTGAACAAGTCAGTCACAAAAGGACAACTACTGTATCTCATTTACATGAAATAGGCAAATATACAGAAACCAAAGATTATTAATGGTCACCAGGGGTGGGAGGCAGGGGAAAAGGGTGTTTTTGTTTGGAGGGCATTGAGTTTATGTTAATGGTTGAATATTTTAGAAAAGAATATCAATAATGTGGCACAACTTGAAAAATGTAATGAAGCCCTGCTCTTCACTTTCCAGTTCTGTTGCTCTGCTTCCTGTTCCTTCACAGCTGTAGAATCACCTCACACGCCACATGCTTGCTTGCCCCCTCCCCCTTACACAGCATGTAAACTCCACAAGGTCACAGACAGTGCAGGCAGTTCACTCAATGAAAACTGACAACATGGAAGCCTCCAAAACATAAGTGTCCCTGGAGGATGGCTGGCTGCTGGGGTACTTAACAGTTTTTAATTATAACACAGATTGCTACTGCCCCCTCAGCCAGCAAACCATAAAGCGCCGTTTCCTGTCCTGTTCACATCTCCTGGCTACTAGACTCCCAACATAAATTTGTCTAATTAATGAGAAAAGGATGAATGACTGAGCCTGGGGTGGAACTCAAAGATCACCTAACTTCCTCCCTTCATAAGTAAAGACAGTGCAGTCTTTGGAATGCTGTGAGTCATGACCCACTAGCGCCACACCAGCCTGAGATACACTTAGTACGTGGCTGACTTTCAACACATGTTAACAAGGACAGCCTTCTGCCCCTGGGAAAAGACCACTGCTTCCAGATATTGCTGGGAACAAATTAAAACTAACATACATCTGTCTGCACTGTCTCCCAAAACAAACAGAGATGAAAAGGAAAAAGTTCATTCCTGAAGACAGGACAGAAAATAAACACATGGGATCCTTCTTATTTTAGTACTGCCTGAAGACCATGGTATTTTCCTGGGAACAAAACTTAACCATTCTGCACTACTGCATTTAAAAAAAAAAAAAAAAATTCAATGTGATCACTGCCCACCGAGAAGTACCAATAAAAACATAAAGTAACCTTAAAACATAGAATAGTTCCACAGTGTCTAATACAGAGGAAGGGGTATAACACAAAACTGAGGCACTGGAGCTCGACCGACCTGAAATGCAAGACTAGCTTTGGTCTTGCCTTCTCTTCCATAAATAGCGTTACTGGCAATACCTACCTACAGAACCGGTGAAGAACTTAAATGAGATAGTCCATGTAAAGCCCGCAGCACATAAGCCCTTGAGCAATATGTTACATTATTAGAGAAGTGGAGTCAGGATCAACCGATGTCCGTGGAATAAAGAAAGCCTAACAGTTCACAAACGCTCACGTCCATTATCGTATGTTTCATAAGCAATCCTGGTAGGTATCTATCAGAGGTTTTATCACCGTTGAGCACCCGAGGAAACCGGGGCTCGCAGTTCAGAGGGAGTTGCCCGAGATGACCTGGCTGGTTGGCGGTGAAGCGGGACTCGAACGCAAATCGCTCAACGTCTGGTTAGTTAGAGGAAACGGGAGCAGCTGTTTAGTTTCTGAGGGAAGTGGGCAGTATGCCGGGGACCTGAGAGGGCGCGGGAGGAGCTCGGAGGACTGAAGAGCACGGGAAGTTTAGGCCTGGGAGGCAGCCAGCCTCAGTTGCCGGGTTTCCGCCAGCGCCGATGAGGCGTGACTACTCAGACGGGGAATGTGGCTCCCCAGATCCCCTAGCCGGCCGGCGCACGGCGATGGCGTCACCGCCGCGTATAGCGCGGCTAGTGCACGCCCCACCGCCCGGAACCGGCAAACAGCGCCCACTGCTCACCTGCCAGGCCGTGCCGAGGACCCTCACGCCTGTCCCGACGGTCCTGCCGCCTCCCAGGGCACCACCGCATCGCCAAAGCACTGCCAGCGGCCCGGCCACTGCCCAACTGCCGGCCGCCGCCACCAGCCGGTGCGACATCCCCCACCCCCGACTTCGCGCCGCTCGGGCGCGCGCACGCGCAGCGGCAAAAGGGTCATAGTCACCAGAGACCTTTGCGCATGCGCTTGGGGTCATAGGTGAAGGCTCGGGGACCTTTCTTTAGCTGTCTACTTCATCGCCTGACCGTCTAAGGGTTTAAACACGAGCGCTGCCTTGCCCTATGCAGACATCTGAGAGCAGAAAACTCAGCGGCTGACTCTGACTAGGCGCTAAAGGGATACCCGGCTCCTTTAGACTTTTTTAAAGTCGGGTATATCCAAGGCTACCTACTTCCGGGGTCCTCCATGGAAAGCGGCTCACAAAAGTGAGCCCCGCCCCCGAGTCGTGGGACACCGCTATGGGCGTCTGTAGTTGTTCCGCTGCCGGCCTGGACTGTTGCTCCGGTATACCTCATGAGCAAAGGAACAGACTCAATATATGCTATCCCGCATTACTCCCCTTCACAGATTGCTTTTTGGTTCTCTGGAGCCACAGAAATCCACGCCGGTTTTGATGGTCCTGCAGCTGTGCTGTCCAGGAATTTTGACGCCAGAGGCGTTCCCTGTTGCCTGTGGCTGGGCAGGCCCGTGGTGCCCTCCCACGTCTGCAGGGACATCGGCCTACGCCTCCTAGATTTTCTTTCCCAGATTCTGCCAGGGTAGCCACAGGCCTTCTTGCTCCCTGAGATTGCTGTAGTTCTATTACATTTTGGAGGCAAAGATGCCTGGGAAAAGGCCTCTAAATTCAACTGTCATTCGAAGTGCCAAAAGGGAACGAAAGGCAATTACCCTCGACATCAAATTAGAAGTGTTAAGACGATTCGAAGGAGGTGAGAAGCTCAGCCAGATCGCAAAGGCCTTAGGCCTTGCTGTCTCCACAGTGGCGACCATCCGAGATAATAAAGAAAAAATTAAAGCGAGTTCACAAATAGCTACGCCCTTGAGAGCCTCTCGGCTGACTCGCCACCGGAGTGCAGTGATGGAGAACATGGAGCGGTTATTGAGCATGTGGCTCGAAGATCAGAGGCAGCGGAATGTACCTCTGAGTGTCTCCATCATTCAGGAGAAGGCTAAGAGCTTGTTTGATGACTTACAGCATGAACAGGGCGAAAGCTCTCAAACTGAAAAGTTTAGTGCAAGTAAAGGGTGGTTTGTGAGGTTCAAGGAGCGCCACTGTTTACCCCACTTCAAGATGAACAGCACTCCTCCCAGCAGCAACGTGGACACATATCCGGAAGTGCTGAAAAGCATCATCAAAGAAGGTGAGTACACCCCCCAGCAAGTTTTTAATGTAGATGAGACAGGGCTTTATTGGAAGAGGATGCCTGAAGGAACGTTTATTTCTGTGGAGGAGAAAGCCGAGCCAGGGTTTAAATCATCCAAAGATCGCTTGATGCTGCTTCTTGGTGGCAATGCGGCTGGGGACTTCAAATTGAAGCCCCTGCTGGTGTACCACTCGGAAAACCCTTCAGCTCTGAAGGGGTACTCGAAGCCCAACCTTCCTGTGATTTGGCGCTCAAACAAAAAGGCTTGGGCCACCAAGGGCATCTTCCACGAATGGTTCACATACTTTTTTTGCCCTGCTGTTGAAAAATACTGTGCTCAAAATGATCTCACCAACAAAGCACTGCTCATCCTGGACAGTGCGCCATGCCACCCAGTGAATCTGAGCGATCTGTCTGATAATGTAAGAGTAGAATACCTTCATGACAGTACAGCCGACATAGTCCAGCCCATGAGTCAAGGTGTGGCCTCCACCTTTAAAGCTCACTACCTGAAAAGGACTTTTGAGCACCTTCTGGAAACAACCGATGGGGAGGATAAGGCTACAGTCAGGGAGTTTTGGAGGAACTATGACATTATGGATGCTGTGGACAACATTGCAGTAGCTTGGGAGGAGCTCAAACCAGCAACAATGAACAGTGTGTGGAAGAAGATTTGGCCTGAGTGTGTTCAGTTCCAGAGTTTTTCCCAAACAGATAACATTACACGGCTTCAACAAAACATTGTGACCCTTGCCAAGAATGTGACCTTTGAAGAGGTTGTAGAAGCTGACGTGGGCCAGTTGCTTCAGTCCCACGAAGAAGATCTCTCAAATGAGGAGCTAATGCAGCTGGAACAGGAGTGGGCAGCAGGAGAGGAAGAGAGTGAAGATGCTCCCCCTGCCCTTCGTCAGTTGACTACAGAAGCTTTGTCGGTGGCCTTCTCACATTTTGAGGCCGGCTTGCAGATCCTTACCAGTAACAGCCCTGACGATGAGTGGAAATCGAAAGTTTCAAGAGCAATCAATGATGCAGTAAACTGCTATAGGGAATTGTACAATGAGAAAAAGCGACGTTCAAAGCAGCTGTCTTAGGTCATTTTTCAGTGCATGTAACCAAAGGTTAATCAAGGTAAAGCCAGAAGCAGCAAGCTGACCTCAATAGATGAGGCCCAGGCAAGTCTTTCTGCTTCCAGAAACCTTGTTTCTTGCATTTTTCATTTTGACCCTTGAGGGTGTTAAATTTTGTCATTAAACTTTCATTTAAATATGTGTTTTAAAAATATTGCATACAAGAATAACCAGGAAAACATTTTTAAACAGCTACAAGGGAGGGACTAACCCTGGTAGACATTAAAACATGCTCTGAAGCCCCTGTTGTGAAAGCAGGTGGTTCTGGTGCATGAACATTCAGACCTGAGGCACAGGATAGGGAGTCCAGAAATCAAGGCTGTACTATAACGATGACATCTCAAATCCCTGAGTAAAGGTGAATTTTTTTATATCGGTGCACAGCTGGTTAGCCATTTGGAAAAAGATAAAATTAGAACCATACCTCACAGCATCGTCCAAATAGATTAGGGATCTACAGGTAAATAGTGGAACCATACAAGTGCTGGAAAACATGGATGAGTTCCTCTTTAACCTGGGTATCAGGAAAGACTTTCCAATTATGACTTAAAATCCAGATGCAGTAAAAAAAGATTATCAATTTGACTATATAAAAATGAAAAAGAAATAAAGCTTTTCCATGGGAAACAAAACACAAACGAGGTCAAAAGACAATTGATAAAGTGGAAGAAAATAATTTGCAAGATGTATCACAGATATGTAAAGAACTCTTAAGGACTGAGAGGAAAAAAGACCAAAAACCCAATAGAAAAATGGGCAAGAGACAAATAATTCATAAATAAATAAGGCTCTTAAACGTATGAAAAGATGTTCAACCTCACTTATAATCAGAAAAAATGCAAATTTAAAGGACAGATACCATTTCTTACCAGGTTAGCTGATAACAGAAAGTGGAACAGCACCTTCTGTTGGTGAAGCCATGGGTTAACATTGCCTGTTGTTGCTGATGGGATGCAAATTGGTACAACCCTATAGAGGGGCATTTGACACTAATTAAAAAAAGATATCTTTTGACTCAGCAATCCCAGTATTAGGATTGTGCCCGGATGATACACCTCCAACAAAAAATAACGTGCACAAAGTTATTCAGTGCAGCATTGTTTGTAATGGCAAAAAATAGGAAACAGCTAAATACTCATCTATAGAAGAGTGGTATAATAAGCAACGGTAATTCCACATACTGGGGTATAATGCAGGTGTAAATAATAATAGTAGTAGTAATGATACTAGAAAGAGGAGGAACTCTATGAACTGATGTGGAGTTGTTTCCAAGTTAAACTGTTAAGTGAAAAAGGCAATATGCAAAGGGGTGTAGTATTGCTACCTTTTGTAGAAAATAAAGGTAAAATAAGAAAATGTGTGTATCTTATTCATTTGTACAAAATGAAGCACAGGAAGGAGAAACCAGAGACTAATGTAGATTCATTGCGGGGTACAGGGGGAGAAGGATGACACTTCTCTGAGCATAGCTTTTGTAAAGTTATGACTTTTGGAACCATGTTAATATGTCAAACACAAAAAATAAAATACACGAGGATGGGAGGAAAAAACCATAAAATGGACATTACATGAACCATATTTCAAATAACCACAGAGAAGGGTGAGAAACCCTAAACCAAGTAAATTTGAAACTCTGTATTTTGACTAAGGAGCCTGGGTGGTGCAGTGGCGCAGCTACTAACTGAAAGGTGGGAGGTTCGAATCCCCCTGTTGCTCTGTGGGAGAAAGATGTGGCAGTCTGCTTCCATAAAAGATTTACAGCCTTGGAAACCCTACAGAGCAGTTCTACTCTGTCCTACAGGGTCACTGTCATAGATTGAATTGTGTCCGCCCCCCCCTGCAAAATATGTGTCAACTTGTCTAGGCTGTGATTTCCAGTATTGTGTGGTTGTCCTCCATTTTGTGATCTATTGTAATTATCCTGTGTGTTGTAAATATTAATCTCTATGATGCTAGTGAGGCAGGATTACAGAGAGTTATGAGGCAGGATACAATCTACAGCATTAGGTTGTCTCAAATCAGTCTCTTTTGAGATATAAAAGAGAGAAACAAGCAGAGAGGAGAAGGACCTACTACCACCAAGAAAGAAGAGCCAGGAGTGGAGTGCATCCATTGGGCTTGGGGCCCCTGTGCTGAGAAATGCCTAGACCCCGGGGAAGATTGATGACAAGGACCTTCACCCAGAGCCAACAGAGAAAAGCCTTCCACTGGAGCTGATGTCCTGAATTCAGACTTCTAGCCTCCTAAACTGTGAGAGAATAAATTTATGTTTGGTAAAGCCATCCACTTGTGGTATTTCTGTTATAGCAGCTCTAGATAAATAAGAGAGTTGCTATGAGTCAGAACCAACTCAACGGCAGCGGGTTTGGTTTGGATTATATCTTGACTATATGACCTCAAGCTAAAGGCTTAAAAAAAAGACAAAAAACCTCAAAACAAATATTGAACTCTGGTTAGAGGCATGGCTTAGCAATTCTGAAAGAAACTTTGTGTGTTGTTGGATTGAGCAAATAAGTAAATTTATAGTGATCAATGGAGCCAATTTTCTTACTCTCAGGGAAGGGAATTACAAATATGAAAAAGGAAATGACAAAATGAACCCTGTGGTATTGGATTTAAATTAGAGATATCAGTGGGAACTCATGGTTTTTTATATATTTATGGAACCCTGGTGACGCAGTGGTTAAGAGCTTGTCTGCTAACCAGGTCAGCAGCTCAAATCCACCAGCTGCTCCTTGGAAACCCTATGGAGTAGTTCTACTCTGTCCTATAGGTATAGGGTGGTTTGGTTTGGTGCAGTGGTTAAGCACTTGGCTGCTAACCAAAAGGTCAACAGTTCAAACCCACCAGTCACTCTGCAGGAGAAAGATGTGGCAGTCTGCTTCCATAAAGATTTACAGCCTAGGAAACCGTATGGGGCAGTTCTACTCTACAGGGTTGCTATGAGTCATAATCAACAGCAATGGGTTTTGTTTTGTTTTATATATAAACAGATAGATACAGATGTGTGGGGTGATATTTCCTAGCTCTGGCTGTTGAAAGGACCAAGAAACAGTGACACCCCGGTAGCAGTGAGCACAGCCAACACCAGGTCTTAGTTACACCATTCTCCACAAAAAGGAATCGGGGCTTCTTGGAGAAAGGGCTGATTTCAGGGCCGGGACTGGGAAAATAGATAAGGCCAGAAAGCCTTGCTCTGCCAGAGTTAAGAGAGTGCTTAAAGAATGATAGCAGCATGTCAAAAGGACGCAGCAGACAAGTCACGGGCTCCCACTGGCCAAGATCTGGGACATTTTGAGCATCAAAATAAATACAGCAAAAGATTATAACCCACTAAATAAAATAAGAACTCATGAGTCCATAAATTAAGTGGGGGGAAACGGAACACTCTTCCATAAAAAATGTAGAAGAAATGATGAAATTAGAAAATCATAATTCGGAATTAGGCAAAAATCATCAATGGATGCTAAAGCTGGTGGGTGAAATTTGGAGGACTAACTGAATATTTACATGGACTTAAAGTATCTCCCCACAAGATGCTTATGAACTACTAGGGATTCATCAGTCAGAATAGACTAAACAACAGGTTTTATATAATAATTTTATATTGGAGAAGCCTAGCAGACACCATCTTACCCAAGTGACCAAAGGTGACATCTCCATGGGACAAATTGACATTGTGTGCCTCCTGGTATCATGTACTGAGGAGGACACAGCATCACCTCTGTGCTATTCCTGTCAAGGGTGCAAAGCCTAAATCTAATGTGAGACAAACCCAAATGGAGGGACACTCTTCAAAATAATCAGCCTGTATTTTCAAGAAAATCCATGTCATGCACTTTTAGATTAAAGGAGGCTAAAGAGATGACAGCTGAATGCCATGTGTGATCTAGGTTTTTGTTTTTTTGTGTGTGTGTGTGAGGGGGAGGGGGAGGGTGGAGGAGAGATTAGTTACAAAGGATGTTATTAGAACAACTGGAGAAATCTGAGTAAGGCTTTTTGCAGGTTTTATAGCCCTATATCAGTGTTAACCTCCTGATTTTGGTAATTCACTGAGGGCATGTAAGATAATGCCCTTGTTTTTAGGAAATGTTGCCCACAAGTATTTAGAGGTGAAGGGGCATTGTCTGTGCAGCTTACTGTAAATTGGTTCAGAAAAAATGTCTGTGTGTGTGTGGAGAGAGAATAAAGCAAATGTGGCAAAATGGTAACATTTAGGTAATCTGGGAAATGGGTAAATGGAAGTTTTTGCAACTTTTCTTTAAATTTGTCAATATAAGGTTAAAAGGAAAAAAAACTATTCCATAACCTGAAAGAAAAGAAAAAGATTACATCCTCTGTCTAATATCTTAACTATTCTTAGTCTGCAGTTGGAGGTGGTGTGCTCAGGCACTAAGGCTCACAGACACCCTGCCTTTGCATCCACCCTTCTCCTGCATGTGCCCTGAGAGAGGAACAGCCTCTGCCCGCAAGTCTCCTTCAGGCATTGTGTGCCTAATCCTCGGGGTGCAACTGAGTATGGGTAGTGTATGAAGACACCTTCTAAAGCTTGCTGATGTTTTCTGGGTCACAGCCCCTCTGAGATCCTGCTGAAGACTGTAGATGGTCTCCCCACAGAGAAATTTGCAGTTTTGACTCTAATTTGAGAAGGGTCTTTATGGCTCCCCTAAAGTCCATCCATTAATGTTGTTGTTAGGTGCCGTCAAGTTGGTTCCGACTTATAGTGGCCCTGTGTACAACAGAATGAAACACTGCCCGGTCCTGCGCCATCCTCACAGTCATTGCTGTGTTTGAGCCCACTGTTGCAGCCACTATCAATCCATCTAGTTGAGGGTCTTTCTCTTTTTCGCTGACCCTCTACTTTACCAAGCATGGTGTCCTTCTCCAGGGACTGGTTCCTCCTGATAACTTGTCTGTCATGGATTGAATTGTGTTCCCCAAAAATATGTGTATCAGTTTGGCTAGGCCATGATTCCCAGTACTGTGTGATTGTCCACCATTTTGTCATCTGATGTTATTTTCCTATGTGTTATAAATCCTATCTCTATGATGTTAATGAGGTGGGATAGGTGGGAGTTACGTTGGTGAGGCAGGACTCAATCTACAAGGTTGGACTGTGTCTTGAGCCAATCTCTTTTGAGATATAAAAGAGAAGAGCAGAGAGACAGGGGGACCTCATACTACCAAGAAAGCAGCACCAGGAGCAGAGCGTGTCCTTTGCACCAGAGGTTCCTGTGCTGAGAAGCTCCCAGACCAATGGAAGATTGACGACAAGGACCTTCCTCCAGAGCTGACAGAGAGAGAAAGTCTTCCCCTGGAGCTGATGCCCTAAATTTAGACTTGTAGCCTACTAGGCTGTGAGAAAATAAATTTCTCTTTGTTAAAGCCATATACTTGTGGTATTTCTGTTACAGCAAAACTAGATGACTAAGACAATGTCCAAAGTATATAAGACAAAGTCTTGCCATCCTCCCTGCCAAGGACCATTCTGATTGTACTTCTTCCATTAAGAACCCTATTCAAAGAGTAATGGAGATGGGGTTCAAGGAGCATTGGGTTGAGGTGAGAGCCATTGGTGGGTCTGGCCTATGAGGATAAGAGAAACCCCGAGAAACTGGGCTGGGCTGGGCCTGCTGAACCCAGTCTGATTTGCATGATCAGCCAGCTTCTCATTGGTTATTGAGACAATCCTACTTTGAGGATACCAGGAAGAGGCACAGCTCCTACTTACTGCATGTTTATTAAATGCTCCTGGAGCCCTAACAACCCCACAAGGTATGCCACCCCATTCTACAGAAGTAAGGGAGGCTGGGAGAAATCACATAACTTCTGCAGGGTGATATGTTGTGTCTGACACCAACCAACCTGTGCGCCTCTCCCCACCAATCCAGAACTATTACTTCATCCCAACCAGATGATCTCACCTCCTGCAAGCGGTACCCTGCTCTGATCCACCACACACACACACACACACACACACACACACACACACACACACGAGTTTACAAACAGGTGTTTAATGACCAGGGACAGGGCGCTGGGACAGCTAGGTGCCCTCCAGTCAGGCCTGACCCACACATGGAACCCCCATGACCTGTGGAGACCTCAGGTGCTGGTGGGCAGCCTGGTTCCTTGGTGGTTTCTTTCTACCTCACTATAGACTCATGCAAAGACCACACGCACAATTCTGTTTAAAGACTTTGTCAACCAGAAAGGGCAGGTGGGGAAGAAGTGTGCTGGGGGAGGGATAAGGTGAGGAGGTCAAAAATAAAGACGCCAACCCCATCCAACAAATGTCAGCACACCAACATTTTCTGTGGGCACGGTTACTACAAACTAGAACAATGTGACGTGGACTACACGTGAACTCAAGGATGGCAGGAATGTGATGCAGCAGAGAGAAGTGAGCTAGGAATGTGCAGATCTGGGTGCAGGGAGAGGGCATTGAGCCTGTGACTCCCACACACTCTAAAAGTGGGCCGAGAGCAGGACAGGCTGATATGGGCATGGCTCTCCCATGAAGTACCCCCATACTGGCCTCTTCACCTCACCCGAGACAGCTCAGTGCCACACTCCTGGTTTGCAGATATCAGTCTAGGGCTTTGCCTGATGCCACTGTACAGGCGAGACACCGGTTCTTGCCCTTTCCTAGCCACACAGAGGACAGTGACACCGCTGTTACTCTCCCCTCACATCGTCCACTGAGCTGACGGTCCCACTGCTGAGGTGCCCCCTCTAGCTTTCTGGTCCAGGTAGGGGACCTCCCAGGAGCCACACCGCTGCCCTCCTCCCACCACCTGCGTGTCCGCTGTGCACCAACAGCCAAGTCCAGGGTGAGGAGGGGCAGCAGCGAAGGGCAAGTGCAGACAGCCCTGCTTCCTGGAGGCCCCAAAAAGTCCTGTCTCTCAGCTGCACCCAGGACACTGGGTCTGTAAAGTGCAAAGCTCTCTAGAAACACCCTGAGCGGTGCAGCTCCCACCCAGGTGAAAAGCGGTCACGAGGTGCAGCCTGAGATGCAGGCTTTGTCACATGTAGTGGGATCTTCATGCCCCGTCTTCCCCCGGAGGCCCCTCCAGCCAATGCTCCCAGGCCTCTCACCGTCTGCTCCCAGCCTCAGGCCCCCAAACGAAAGACCCTTCTGGCCGGCTTGGAGCATCCAGAGCCCTCACAGGTACTGCAGCAGCAGGATGAGCTCCTTTCTGGATGGCAAACTGGTCCCAAGAAATGCCACAGGGTCTGGCTGTAACCCACTCTCTTCCCTAACCTGTCCAAGCACAACACCTGGGGCTGAGACACCCCTCAGCTGGACCTCTGCCACCCAGCTTGGAGCACAGGGACAAGTTGTGGCCAGTCCACATGCAGAGTAAGGCTCGGAGGCCCCTTCTCTCCCTGTTGGACAGAGCCCCTGGACCACCCCCAGCCTGATGGGGACTTGAGAGAGGAAGGTCCATGGGAACAGCCTCAGCCAGGGCCCACCAGAAGCCCCCCATAAGATGAGGGGCTGGAGTGAGGGGCAGTGAGGAAGCCTCTGTATAGAACCCAAACTGCTCCCTGCAGAAAAAACTTAGGTCCCAGGCAGGTCTGTGCAGCCAGCAACCGTGGCTTCCGTGGTTGCTCCTCAAGGTTCCCCTGGGGGTTTTGGCCTGGCCCTTCTCTGGGCTGGCAGCCTTGACCCAGAGGGAACGTAGGGCTCTGTATTGCGGGGAGGCAAGAAGCCCTCCTAGCTCCCCTCCCCACTGGACCCTCTGAGACCTGGCAGGTTCCTGGATGATGGTCCTCGTGGGCGGGGCTCACCCTCTGGCCCAGCACGTGGGGGTCCAGGGGTCTGCAGGGCTGCACCCACGGTCTCCAGGGCAGAACAACACCTGGACTTTGGCGCTGGCCCCACCCCCCGTCATCCCTGCACCCTAGATGTCCACTTCCAGGCCAGGATCCTGGAACAGCGACCGCTTCCGCAGGGTCAGGCGAGCACACTTCGGGCACGTAGTCGAGTTGTCATAGTAGCAGTCCCTGGGGAGGAAGACAGGGTGAGCAGGCCCTCTGCCTTTGGGAAAGTGGACTCTCAGCTCTGCATGTAAATGGTATCACTGAGACCCTGGCCACTTAAAGTCTCATCATCCTTCTCCAGACAGGGAAACTGAGGCTCAGGAGTGTCACTGAAAGGCAGAAGTGAGTCTGACCCAGGCATGTCTAACCACATGGACTGTAATGTAGACACATGCCCAGGGTGTACAGGGGTCGTCCGAGGGTCCCACACCCATCATTACAGGTCCTGCAATCATGCCCTTTCCAGGTCCTATGGCCAGAGGGGGCTGAGCCCTCAGTCACTCGCTGTGACCATCTGCTCTTACCACCACCACGCAGACCCCTACACGGCTCCCAAATGGAGCACGAGGCACCCAGGCGTTGCAGAGAATGCACAGGGGATCACAGGACAGCATGAATTTTGAAAAGGACACATGTGACATCTGGCAGACACCATGAGAACTGCTAGCTAGGGGAAGTCCAGTTTCAATGCTGGATTTTGCTGCATTCCTTTCTATGATGTCATAGCTGGGATTTTGGCAGTTGCCGCGATAAACAGCGAGTACCACACAAAAGGAGCCCTGGTGATGCAGTGTTTAAAGTGCTGAGCTGCTAACTGAAAGGTCAGTGGTTTGAACCCACCAGTCATTCCATGGGAGAAAGATGTGGCAGTCTGCTTCTGTAAAGATTTACAGCCTTGGAAGAAACCCTATGGGGCAGTTCTACTCTGTTCTATAGGGTCACTATGAGCCAGAATTGACTCGACAGCAGTGGGTTTGGTTTTAGTTCTTAACCACTCAAAAACTGGTGGGACACAATGTTCTACATTCTACTTTGGTGAGTAGCATCTGGGGTCTTAAAAGCCTGTGAGCAGCCATCTAAGATACTCCACTGGTCTCATCCCTTCGGGGGCAAGGGAAAATGAAGAGAACAGGATACAAGGAAAAGATTAGTCTGAAGGACTAATGGAACCACAGCTACCAAGGCCTCCACCAGACTGAGTCCAGTACAGCTAGATGGTGCCCAGCTACCACCACTGACTGCTCTGACCGGGATCACAACAGAGGGTTCTGGACAGAGCTGGAGAAGGATGTAGAACAAAATTATAACTCACAAAAAAAAGACCAGATTTACTGGCCTAAAGGAGACTGGAGAAACCCCGAGAGTATGGCTCCCAGACACCCTTTTAGCTCAGTGGTGAAGTCATTTCCGAGGTTCACCATTCAGTTGGGGAGTGGACAGCCCCATAAAACCAAATGGGACTAATGAGGCACAGCAGTCCAGGGACAAGGGCCAGAAGGCAGAAGGGGACAGGAAAGCCGGTGATAGGGAACCCAAGGTTGAGTAAGGATAGTGTTGATGTGTTGTCAGGTTGTTAAACATTGTCATAGGGCAACATGTGTACTAACTGTTAAATGAGAAACTATTTTGTTCTGTAAGCCTTCATCTAAAGTGAGAACAGCAGCACAATCGGAAGAGCATATTTGATGTCACTGAACTGTGCATGCAGAAATTTTTGAAATGGTGTATCTTTGGCTATGTATATTTTCACCAAAAAAAAAAAAAAAAAGGTAGAAAAGGGAGAGGGTTGACATGTTGTGGGGTTGTTAACCAATGTCATAAAACAATATGTGTACTACTTTTTCATGAGAAACTATTTGTTCTGTAAGCCTTCACCGGAAGTACAAAAAAAAAAAAATGTTAATACAAGATGTAAGAAGAGATTTGGGAGGAGCTATAAGAAAATCTTCCATGTGCTTATTGACTGTGAGGTTCTTATAAGATATTTAGGTGGTGATATTTTGTTAATTTGTGTATGAGCTTAAAGTAATAAAAGGAAGAAAAAAGTTTAAAAAAAAAAAAAACTGGTGGGACAGGATATGAGGAGGCAGTGTTCAATCTGACCCCAGGTTCCAGAAGGTGTGCATGTCCTGCCAGCACACATCTGTTAGTAAGTAATGGTGCTTATTTAAGAATGAAATAAAAGTGTTCTTTTTCTTTCAATTTATGAGTGTTATTTTTTCAAACTGCCAGTAAGTCTTTAGAAGATAAATATGGATTAAGTTCTTTGAACCTGAACACTTAATATATGAAAGCATTAGGTATTTCTTTCGGCCCAGGAGGCTTTGAAAAATTACTGAGTCAGTAAGGGTTCCCAAACAAGAAAGTTTGGGAACCTCTGGTCTATGCTAAACCTGAAAGAGAAACATCGATACTGATGGAGAAGGCAGGTGACAGCGTGAACACATACAGGTCAAGCTGGGGCTCAGGGGCTCATCCAGAACGGGTCTGGGCTGCGATGCTCCCCCCTGCCGCCCCCCACCGAGCCCCACAGCTCTTTACAGAGCCTTTAATTTACTCATAGACATCAGGGTCCAACCCTGACCCCACACCTTGGCATAAAGGCAATAAGCTTGGGAAGTCAAGCAGTTGAGGCTCCATCCCTCCCTCTCTCTCAGCAGCAGGTGAGGCTCCCGGGAAGGTGAGGAAACCCCTGAGGGGGGTGACCCTGCACCCACCTGTGGAAGACAGCAGAGCAGTCTGTGCACACGGAGGTGTGGCTGTCGAACGGGAACAGCACGTCTCCTTCTCTGCAGAGCTCACACACGAAGCCCTTGGCCTGGCACCGCTGGGGGGGGGGTGTCTGGATGAATGCCAGCTCCGGGGCCGCCGCTTCCCCCCACCCTCCTCAGGACCAACAGGCCCACAACCCCATGAGGGTGGCCCACCTCGCAGTCCAGCTTGATGTGCTTGGCAAAGAGAGTGTGGATCTCTGTCAGCGAGCAGCTGAGGCGGCCCACGTGCACATCCACCAGGTCCTGGACCGAGTACATCTCGTCGTTCTCCACAAAATGCTGCCGGTCCTGGAGCTGCCAAAGCCCAGAGCCATGAGGCTGGCACAAGGCCACCGGCACACACCCATGCCTGGCCACCTCACCACCAGGTCCTGGAGCACTCGTGGAAGCTTCAGGTGGGGTCTGTACCAGGGCAGGCCCCAGAACAGAATCCAGGAGCCCAGGGAACCCACAGGGCAGGAAGGGGCAGGGCCAAGTTTCCCAGTCAGTGTGAGGACTCTACCACCCATCACCACTCATACAGTCTGCTCCGGCCACTGTGGCCACCTTGATGCTCCAGACATGCCTCCCCACCTGGGGTCCTGCAGGGCCATCCCTTCCACCCATGCCTGGTTTCCCAGCCCCCATCCATGCCTCCTTCCTGCTTTGTCCACTGCTCCCCAGGGCCTAGGACAGTATTTGCATACAGCAGGCACTCAGTAGATATTTGTCAGATGAATAAATAAGTGGTCTTGAAAAGACTGATCTGTGGTCACCCTTACTCAGCACGGTTGTACCCTCACCCCTCCCACCACCATAGATTTACATAAGGGCTGTGTGGAAAATACCTGTTCACCTAGGATTATCTTTGTGGGTAGAATACCTGCCAAGGTTACCTGGGACAGAGTTTGGGAAACCCCCAGTCCTCATGGCTGCTCTCTCCGTGTCCTCCCACCCACCGGCCTCCCTGCTAGTCCCTTGGCTGCCTGACCTGCAAAAGCAGGCGTGACTCCATGGCCTCCTTGCAGGTGATGAAGTACGGCTTCATGAGTAGGATGTCCTGGCGCAGCTTCTGCAGCAAAAAGGGTGTGGGCATCCTTAGCCAGGGTGCTGGGCTCAGGGGCTAGGGGAAGCTGCCCCCAGGCCCCCAGGATGGTCCAGCCACACTCTGAGGGCTCCAGCCAACCAATGGCTGCCCAGGCGGGGTAGGACTTCAAGGTGCGTTTATCGACACCCACAACCCTCCTGTACATAATCTAACCCACACAGCCCTATACATCCTTCAGCTATACTTCCATCCTAGGAGCCTGTGGCTCCTGGCCCACCCTATTCCCTCCCCAGCCCTGTGGCCTCGGCAACTTTTCTCGCTCTGCCTCAGTTCCCACTTCTTACCACCTCCCCAAGACACTGTAGCCTGCCTGGCTGGTGCACCAGCCTGGTCCCGCTCCTACTTCCTCACCACTTGCTAACACAGTGGACTTAGTCTCACGTGGAGCTGAGCCCTAGCCTGTGCCTGGTCTGAACTGGGATCGTCATGGTGTTGGATACATACCAGAATTGGAAGACTTAGTAGAAGAAAAACAAGTAAAATATCCCAATAATTTTGTACATTTGTTGCATGTTGAAATAATCTTTTTGATATAATGTTAAAATACGTCATCAAAATTAATTGTACCTGTTGCTCTTTACTACTTTAATGTGGCTACCAGACAACTTAAATTACTCGCGGGGCTCCCACATTCCTCCTGGTCCTGCTCTAGGGCACGGAAGCCAAGGTCCTGTCAGACCAAGCTCACCTGGCCATCTGCTGCTCAGAACCTCCCTGCTCCCTCTCACCTGGAGGAGATAGGACCCTACCATGGCATCCAGGACCCTCACACACAGCTCTCCTCCATCAGTCCCCTACAGTCACACCCACCCCCACCGCCACCTGCACCCTCACCCAAAGGACACGGCCCCCCGTCTCTGCCCCCTCATCCCTTCACCACCACCCTGCCCCCTCACCCGGATCTCCACCAGCTCCTCCACGTAGTTGAACAGCAGAGGATTGATCTCCCGGAGCCGCAGGACCGGCCTCGACACCATAAGGGCCAGGTAGCGCATGCTGCAGCGGGACACCTGGGAGGGGCTAAGTGGCACTACTAGTGCTTGTCCCCCACAGGCAAGATCCCCTCCTGCTGCCCCCCACCCAGGGAGGGGCACAGCTCCTGCCACTCCTCCCCAGGGTCAGCCCTCTGCCCCTTAGGCCTGCTCAGCGGGCTCACCCCCGAGGAGCACACCCCATTTCCCCTCCCCCATCAGGGTTGTACGGTGGCTCCACCTTCCGCGGCTCGAAGTCCCAGTTGTGGATGACTCGCGCGGGGATGACGGCCAGGTCGTTCCAGTGGCAGTGGCTGCAGTAGTACTGGCCGGTGTAGTCACACTGCCGGGCCTCACTGGGCACACCCCCTACAGAGGGCGGCATTAGAGCTGTGGAAGGGCATCCATGGCGTCCACACTGTTCGCCCTGCCATACCCCCACGGACTCTCCACAGGGTTCACTGTCCTGCATGCTGTGCCCGCAGGAAACCTTCACCCTCCAGACCTGACTCTTTCTGCATTTCACTGTGCCTCGGTTTTGTCATAAGTAAAATGGGACAATAACAGGGCCCCTGTCACAGGACTGGTGGGGGGCACATGCAATAAGGTCAGTAAATCTCAGAAGATGGCCAGCTGGGGCAGTGCCTGGCTGTTATGGGATTTCTCCCCGTCCCCTCTCCAGGAAGGCCAAGCGAGGGCGTTGCCCACACACTCAGGTCAGTCCAGCCCTGCCTGGATAGTCAGAAGTGCCTGAACTTCAGTTTCCTTGAACCTAACATAAAAGATGCTAACGGCCCCTTGGGTAGACCTGAGGATAAACGGCAGGGACCTCCCCCGCCCCCCACTCCTGGCTGTTAGTTCTCTGATTTACCGGGCAGCCATGCCCCTCAAACTGGCCCCCACTGCCCCCCAGCCTGCCCAGGGCCTCACGCAGGGAGATGGGTGCCCGGCACTCAGCGCAGCGGTAGTCCTGGCTGTCCAGCCCTGTCTCAGGACAGATGTTCAGCTCGTACTCAGCTTGGTGGCTGACTTTGGATCGGACACAGGGCTTGGAGATGAGGTTCAGGCACTTGCTGTGACAGCGGTAATAACAACCTGGTGATGGGGGCAACCATATACAGCTCTGAGAAATGGGTGGTAGGGGGGAGCAGCCTGTGGCCTAGGCTCACCTTCACTTCCAGGACCCCTGTGCCAGGTGGAGATTGCGCCACCAGGGTGGGTTTCACTTCAATGCCCAGATCAACCCAAGGGCTGCTCCCAGCCTGCCACAAGTCCCAGAACTTAAGGTCCTCCCGTCCCCCAGCCCCCTGTGCCTTGTGCTGAAAGGCCACGCAGACCTCGCCCCTCAACTCCAAATATCGAGGGCCTACCTGCCATTTCACCTCGACACCCTTAGACAGGCATCAAAGCTAAGCTGTCCAAAACGGAAGTCCCAACCTTCCTTCCCAAACCTGCCCCCCAACACACAGTCTCCCCATCTCCACCTTTCCATGGCTCAGGCTAAAGCTTTTGAGGTCATCCTTGACTCCTCTCCTGTCTCTTACAGCTAGAGCTGGACGACCCATCTCACACCCCTCGCCCACCCTGGACACAGGACTGTCTTCATCTTCTGGACAACTGCAATCGATTGCCCTTCACACATCTTCCTGTTTCTCCTTTGCCCTGCCCCCCCTTCAGTCCCTGCTCAACTCAGCAGCCAGGGTGACCCTGTTAAAACCTAAGTCTGCCCAACACCCACCCATGGCCCCCACTGCACTCTGAAAAAAAGCCCCAGCCACCTCTGAGCCCACCTCTCCCACGCTCCCCCTCAGATGCTGTGGTCCAGCCATACTGCTCGCTGTTCCTCCTTCAGGTGCTGAGCACATGTCTACCACAGGGCCTTTGCACACATGGTCCCCTCTGCCAGAACATTCCTCTCCAGATATACTCAGGTTTTTACTTAAATGTCACACGATACCTTGTAATTCCACCCTGTTAAAAGTTGCACCTCACCCTAGATACACACTATTCCCTTTCCGTATTTCCTTCACTGCTCTATGACTAACACCATATTGTTTATGTGTTTGACTTATCATCCAGGACAGCACTATCCAAGGAACTTTTCACAAAGATGGAAATGTTCTCAATCCACACTGTCTAGCATGGTAGCCACAAGTCTCATGTGGCCGCTGTACTCTTGTAATGTAAACAGTGCGACCAGAACTATATTTTTAAAATTTATTTTAATTAATTAATTTAAATTTGAATAGCCACATGTGGCTAGTGACCACCATACTGGACAGTGAGATCTAGACCGTGAGTGCCATGAGGGCAGGGGTTTCAGTCTCCTTTGTTCACTGTGGTACTCTCAGCACGACACAGGGGCTCAGTAAATGTTGATTAAACTGTAGAGCATTACCTGAACAGAGGAGATAGGGAGTGGAGCTGGGGGTCTCTGCCCTGTCCTGAGGACCCAGCCCACGTGCCCAGCAGGAGCAGGTCTGGTTCACCAGCTCACCTGTGCAGGTGTACCAGGTCTGGATGAGGCCCCAGATGATGGTGTTACACTTGTCACAGGTCTGCTTGACACTCTTGCTCTTCTCCTTGTAGAAACGGTGCTCCAGGAGGACTCGGATGTTGGGCTCATCCTCGTTGGGGTCCTGTGGGGGCACCAGGTGGGGCCATGGGTGAGCCCAGCTGCCATTTGTAGCATAGATTGTTTGCTGCCCCAATGTCTGATCTGCCCTTTCCCTTTATCAGTAGAAGACCCCAGTGCTCAGCCAGTACAGCCACCGAGAATACAGATCATCCTTCCCAGTATCCCTTGCAGCGAAGCACTGCCATGGGACTGCACTGGGGCCAAGGGCACGTAAGCATGGGTGACACGGCCCACTCGTCCTGCCCCCTTTCTGCTGGCTGCAGTGCACAATAAGAAAGTGTGGAGTGGGGCCATCTTGGATTTTTCCAGGGACGAGCAGAGCAACAAGACAGGGGGACCCAGCAGAGTCCCTACACTGTTACCTATCATAGGAACCCTGGGCCACCTATCAGGTTTTTACGTAAGGGAAAATTTTAAGCCACTATACTCTGGGGTGTCCTTGTTACCACTGCCTTACCCATTCCTAATGAATACTCCATCTTCTAAATCCCCAGGGACCTGCGCCAGTGCAGGGGTGGCAGCAGCCAAGCCAAAGAACAGACAACTCAAAGCCCATGTTGAGACATCTGCAGTTTTCGGCCTCCAGGATCCACCCCCTCTTCTGCTGGCCTCCTCAAGAAACCACCCCTCCCACTCTGGGTCAGGTTGGTTCAAGGTGAGATTGACCCCACCTTTTTGGTCCAATAGGAGCCCTGGTTGCACAGTGGTTAAATGCACAGCTGGTAACTGTAAAGGTTGGGGGTTTGAAGCCCCCAGCCACTCCTCGGGAGAAAGATGTGGCAATCTACTCTCGTAAAGATTTACAGCCTTGGAAACCCTATGGGGTAGTTCTACTCGGTCCTGTAGGGTAACTATGAGTCATAATCCACTTGATGGCCACAGGTTTGGTGTTTTTTGGGTTTTGGTCTAGTAGATGGGCACATGACCCAAGCCTGGCCAATCAGTCACTGTGATTGGTTGACAGGTGGACACATGACCCAGGACTGGCCAGTCACCAGGATTGGTTCAGGGATAGGCATGTGACCCAGGAATAGCCAGTGAAAGTCAGGGCTGAGACTCAAGACTCACTTTAACCACTAGAATGAAAGCTCCCATTTGCATGGGGACTGTCCAGCAGATAGGATGACAGCCACAGCTCCTGGGGTATCTCTGCCACCCCTGGGGAGAGCCTGCCTGAGAGTGGACCAAACACTACTCCTTTCTTTTTGGTTTAAGCTAACATAAGGTTGGGTTTCTGTCCTTTGTAACCAAGAGGGTCTAGAGTAATTGAGAGAAAAATTGCAGAAACGTGGGGTGAGGGGCCCGTCCTTTACCCTCCTTCTCTGGTGAGCCCCTCAGAGCCTATAGAGAGTCTGGGTCTCTGGGAGGGGCCGGGGATACCAGGCCCCCATGGAAGCGGAGGGCAACCAGCACCCACCTTCAGCTCCTGGAGCTTCAGCCGCAAGTGGATGAGCCGTACCACAGCATCCTTCTGCTTCTCCGACTGCTCAGGCAGCTCCAGGATCACCTGTTTGCACTCCTCGATGGCCTGACGCAGCTGCTGCACGTCGGAGGCCAGGAACAGGCCCTGCTGGGCAGGGAGATGCTCAGATACCCGCTGAGGCCAGGAACAGGCCCTGCTGGGCAGGGAGATGCTCAGATACCTGCTGAGGCCAGGAACAGGCCCTGCTGGGCGGGGAGATGCTCAGATACCTGCTGAGGCCAGGAACAGGCCCTGCCAGGCAGGGAGACACTCAAACACCCACCAAGGCAGGCCCATCCTCATAGATCATCAGACCAGGAGGGGACCTCAGACTCTCATCCAGATTAAGAAACTGGGGCAAGGCAAGAGAGAGGCTGACTCAAGTCACAGGCAAGTTTGCAGCCAGGGTGAGATTCACTCCTGGCTTCATGCCTGGCCTCTATCCACAGGTTTTGAAGACCTAATTCAGGATGCTTTTCAAAAAACAACTTCCTTCTTTTAGAAATCCTATTACTTTTCTGGCTACATATTTCACTTTCTTCTCCTAAAGAGCTTCCTCCTGGAGGGAGGCTGGCTTCTCTGCCAAGCCCAGGGCAGCGTAATGTACCCCCTACCCCAGCCCCAGCCACTCTGACTGCCCTCCTCACACAGCGCCCAGTCAGGCCCTCAGGCCAGGACACTCTGCTGTCTCCAGCCAAGGAAAGGGGCTCACCCACCCTCAGGAGCTCCTCCAGGCATGGGGCTCTGAGAAGCCAGGGAAAGAAGAGGTGGTGCCTCCCATGGGTCACATGCAAAATGAAAAGCAAGCTACTGTTGGGGACTTCTGGGTGACATTTTTGTTTTAAGTTGCATTTTAATGTTACTATGCTGTTTATCGGAGCCTGTTGGCGCAGTGGTTAAGAGCTACGGCTGCTAACCAAAAGGTCAGCAGTTCGAATCCACCGGCCACTCCTTGGAAACCATATGGGGTAGTTCTACTCTGTCCTATAGGGTCGCTATAAGCCGGAATCAACTTGACAGCAATGGGTTTGATTTTTTTGTTTTTTATACTGTTTATCTCAAGTAAAAGTTGGACAGAGTTCGCATAAAACTGAAAGGTTTTCATACGTTTTTAACCATTAGAGTCCTTTAAGTTTTTCGTAACAAGACTTCCATGGAACCCCAGTATAGAACGGACGGAAGTGGCTATGGGTGGCAAGAGCAGTGGGAGGTGGGTGGGGCTTCCCTCTCTCCCCCACCCCCACCCTGCAGGTGTCTACAGGACACCCTAGGAGCCCACACTCTGCATTAGCTTCTCAAGTGCCTGGGGCTGGGGGTGAGACCCACGGCAGTGCCTCTCCCTTCTCAAGTGCCTAGAGCTTAGGGAGAGGCATGGCCCTAAGTCCTACCCCCAGACCAGCTGTCCTGCCTGCTCTGGGCCTAGGACACCTCCATAGCCCTCAAAAAAGTTTTCAGGATTGGAGTCAGGTGTGTCATGGCCTCAGATTCGAGGGCCAGAGTCCCTGGCCTGACTTGAGGTGGGCAATGCTGAGCCTAAGGATGGTGGCTTGGAAGGGTGGGAACGGCGGCCACCAGCTCATGTGACCCAGACTCCTGCAGGCAGGTGACAAGGACACATGTCCTCTGATGCCTTGGGGCTCATGCATCCCTGTTCCCCTCCCAGTCCCCCACATCTTACCACGGGCCGGGAGAAATGGTCCTCAGACAAGCCAAGATCCATCACGCACTCAGTGCAGCGGAATTCTGGCTCTGCAGGGGATAGCTCCGGGGGAGCCTCTGTGGGTGGCAGTAAAGGGCAGGGCAGGGGCAGGAGAGAGGTCAGTGGCCCCCCCTCCAGCTCCTCTGCCCTTCCTCCCCTAGGGTGGCGCTGGGTCAGGGCTGGGATGGCAGGATGGGAAGGGCCCTTGGTGCAGGAAGACCCCATAGAGGCACTGAGGGGCACACGCATGGGTTCCTGCCCCTCCCGCGCACCTGCCCTGATGGCCTTTTCAAAGGACCCTGTATTCCTTGTGAAATGAGGAAAGAACTGTTCAAAAGACAATGTAGAGCTAACCGATATCGTGAAAACAGGTCCACAAGGCAGCTTTAAGGAACCATCCCAAAGTCCAAGGCAGATGTTCTGTGCATAAATATATGTGGGTTGAAAACAGGCAGCTGGATAGCTACACAACAAAACTGCCAAACCCTGTTTGGACTCTAGGCCTCTCTGCAGGGCTGGCTGGAGTGCCTTCCTGACCTTATCTGCAGGCCCCAGACTCACAGTCCTCTATCTAACTCTTAATCGAACGCTTATAAGCACCTACTGTGTGCCAGACCCTGGGGTCAGGCATTTATGAGCACCTACTGTGTGTCAGGCCCTGGGATACAGCTGTGGCAAGACAGACACAGTTTCTGCCCTCAGGAGGATTAATTCTAGGGGGAGACAGAATAAGAAAGTCAACTCCAGAACAGATGGAAAAGGTAGAAAAGGAGGCAGCAGAGGGTGCTGGTGGGCAGGGAAGGCCTTCCCTCCACAAAGGTTGAAGAGGACAGGGGGCAACCCCTCTGGTATCTGGGGAAAGTTTCAGTCAGTACAAAGGTCCTGGGGCAGGTGTGCCCGGGGTGGGGGACGTGAGGCTGAGGCAGAGTGATGGGGGAGAGCGTGGGAGATACTCAGAGGTGACAAGGGGCTTGTCGGGACATTAGAAAGGGAGGGACCGTGGGGGGGATCTGAGCAATAACTGATGTGATGTAACTTCATTTTGAAAGGACCTCATTGACTGTGCAGGAGCAGGGGTGGCGATCAGGCCAGGCACACCCCTCCACCTGCATGACTGCAGACAGTCACCGCCGCCAATCCCCACAAGGACAGAGCTGCGTGGGGTCATTCCACTTGAAGAAAGCAGGAAGAAAGGGGGTGGGGTGAGTTGAGGTTGGTGGGGCCCAATCCCCAGGGCAGCCCCCGCTCCAGTGCAGCCCCTGCCCCAGTGGAGCCTCTGCCCCAGCACAGCACCGGCCCCCCTCCACAGAGCAGCCCCCAGCCCAGCACTCACCTTCAGCAGCAAGGTCGGGGGCCGCCTCCCTAGGCCCCTGTTCATGCTGTTGCTCACTGAGCTGCTTGTTGAAGGGGTTGAGGTGGGCCTGCCGAAACCGGGCCAGCTTCTCATCATATTCCATAGCATCCCACCTGTGGGGCAGGTAGAGTGAGCATTCGGCTCCAGCTCACTGCATCTCCAAACCCCTCTGAGTTCTGGGGTTTTGGAGGCGAGCCGAGGCTCCTCTCCCTGAGGGGGGGCATCTAGGTGTGGCAGCCTCATGGCTCTGCCTCAATCCTCAGCCCTTCCCAGGCTAATTCAGCCTCTGCTACCCAGGTTTAACCCCGGGGAACAGCCCATAGTGATGGCATCCAACCCACTCCTGGTGGACAGAGTTGTGACTTATCAAGGGTGCAAAGTGGACCACAGGAGCCCAGGCTCTGGCTTCCAGTGCAGGGTCCTCTGGCCCTGAAATGTAGTGGTCCACAGCCCCCAGAAGTCTCACTCAGCCCCAGCCCACCCACACCCTCCTGTGTCTGCCACCCAGGCTATGACCCAAGCCAGACCACAGATACTGGGGGGACACCAAGGAAGGCTCAGCCATGCCTGCAAGACAATCCTCCAAGGCACCCCTGACCCACCAGGGCACCCCAAAAGGTCAGTGGTGGCAATCAAGGGTGCAGCGTGGGCACTCGGGAGTCAAGGTCCAACCCTGCTCTGCCACCTGCTAGGTGACCTTGGGGAGCCCGGCCTTCCTGCGCCTGGTGGGGAGAGTTCTCAGGAGCATTAACTGCCCAACAGGAGTGTCCTTATCATGGACTCCAGCCATGCCTGTACCTTCCAGACTGGGTTCAAATCAAATCCTGCAGACGCTCCACATGACCTTGGTCAGCTGCATGGCCTCGTGCCTAGGAACCTGAGATAGAGGCAGGCAGTGCCTGGCCCACCACTGGCAGAGGCAAGGCCATAACTGCTCCTTCCCTCTCCTTCCAGCTCAGCAGATGATGCTTTGGGTGTGGTGGGGGGTGAGGGGGAGGTCTTTGGCTGGGGCAGGGATGCAGTCTTGTTTGCAATGGCTCCCCCGACTTAACCAGCCAGGCCATGATCCTAACCTCTGCTTGCCTGTTTCCTCATCTGTAAATGGGGACAGTGATTGAGACTGCCTCAGAGGGTCTTGGTGAACGTGAGACCTCTCAGTAAGGTAGGTTATTGCTGAGAAGTCAGAGATGCTTTTAAAACCATGTAGTAAATTTACAGTTATTTTCATGCTCTTTCTATACCTGTTTAGTCTGAAACAATTCATGATTACGAATGATGGCCCTATGACTCCTCCCCTGCTCCCTCCTCTCCCCCCTGAAAAGACAAGTCCCATGTGAAGGAGGAGCTAGGCCACTCAGGACCTGTCCTTCCTGTTCTGCCTCTGTGATGGGAGGTGGGTTGGGTGGCTGAGTTCCTGTTGAACAGCTGCCCCTCGGTGAAATAGGAGACACAGACATCCCTCCTCTTTGCTTACCACCAGATGACTTTGGCCAGGTCACATGGGGAGTTTGGGTCAGAGGCAGCCACCCGATGCCCCTGTGCCTCCCCCAGACCAGCAGGTACCAGAGGGATCTATGAAACACCCAGAGTGGAGGAGAGGTCGTGCTGTCCCAATACCTACTCTTCTTCCTGATCATTAGCTTGGCAGACAACAACCCAACCTCTCTTGCAGCTAGATGTGGCCATGTGACCAGGTTCTGGCCAATGGGATGGGAACAGAAGGATAACATGAGACTTCTGGGAATTGTACTTAAAGGGGGCCCTTCTTCAGCCCTTCTTCCTTCATGCTGTCTGAGATGTAGATGTAATGGATAGAGCTGGAGCAGCCACCATGGAAGTCACAGATGAGGATGGCAGAACAAGGTAGAAGGAGCTTCCACCTGAGCCCTGAGATGCTCACCCCCAGGCTTCATTTAAGTGAGACAGAGATAAACTTCTAAGATACGTCCATTGGTCTCTTCCAGTCTGGAGCAAAAAAAAATAAACAAACCCATTGCCATCGAGTCAATTCCTACTCATAGCAACCCTATCAGGCAGAGTAGAACTGCCCCATAGGGTTTCTAAGGAGCAGCTGGTGGATTCGAACTGCTGACCTTTTGGTTAACAGATGTAGCACTTAACCACTGTGCCACCAGGGCTCCTCTGGAGCAAAAGAGAGTGAAAAAAAAAAAAAAAAAAAAAACGAAAAAACAAAGACTCAAGGGAGCAATTAGTCCAAATGACTAATGGGCCACATGAACTACAGCCTACATGAGTCAAGACCAGAAGAACTAGATGGTGCCTGGCTACCACTACCAACCACTGACTGGGATTACAACAGAGGGTTTGGAACAGAGTGGGAAAAAAATGTAGAACAAAAGTTCAAATTCATGAAAAAGACTAGACTTACTGGTCTGACAGAGACTGGAGGAACCCCCAAGGCTATGGCTCTAAGACACCCTTCTGACCTGGAACTGAAGCCATTCCCAGAGATCACCTTCCAGCCAAACAATAGACAAGCTCATAAAATAAACAATACCACCCACAAGGAATTGTATTCCTTAGAACAATCAATTACAACAGATAAAAAGGGCAATATTTGCCCAAAGGCAAAGAAGAGAAGGCAGGAAGGGATAGAAAATCAGAATGAAAGGAAATGGGGGACCCAGGGTAGAAACGGGCAGAGTGCTAACACATTGTGGGGAATGAAGAGAAGGCCATGAGACGCTTGATGTACAAACTATTGAATGAGAATCTACTTTGCTCTGTAAACTTTCATCTAATGCATAATTTAAAAAAAAAAGGAGAAGAAATAAACTGTTTAAACCACTGTTACTAGGGGGAGATGGGGAGTTCTGTCTCTTGCAGCCAAAACAAATCCTAACTGATTACCCCGGTAGCCTCATGGTAATAAGCCAGATTAGTCCAATTCAAATCCTAGCTCTGCCATTTCCTAGCTGTGTCACCTTGGTCAAATGCCTAAACCTCTTTCTGCTTCCAATTTCTCATGTCTCAAATGGGGATAACAACTTGCTGTTTTTGTGTGCCGTCAAGTTGATTCCGACTCATAGCAACCTTGTAAGACAGAGTCGAACTGCCTCATAAGGTTTTCTAGGCTGTAATCTTTATGGGAGCAGATTGCCAGATCTTCTCTCCCTTGGAGCCACTGGTGGGTTCAAACTGCTGACCAGTAGCCGAGTGCTTAGCCATTGTGCCACCAGGACCTCTTGGGGATAATAATAGTACCCACTAAATAGAGTTATTGTGAAGATTAAATTAGTTAACACAAAATGCTGGAAGTAGCACCCAGTAAATACTGGCTACAACTTCTTATTACATTGATAGTATTATTATGCAGAATCTGCAGCCCTGAATTGAATTCTGGCTCTCCAGTTATGATCCACCCATTTTCTCATCCATAAATTGGCAAACATCTGCCTCCCAGCATGGGGGGGTGGGGTGGGGTTGGGGAGTCAACACCTGCCTGTATCAGAGAAGCAGGTAACCTGAGCTGCTGCTGAGTAAAGCCTCACTCTGTCACACTGTGGACTGCCTGACCCAATGCACTGGATAAGAGTGCCCACCCCCAGGGGCTTCTTCCTGCTAGGTGGTTCCTGGGAGACCTAGGAAACTTCCCAGGATTTTCAAATATTGCCAGAGGAGCTCAAAGCCAGGTCTGCCAGGTGACAATGTCACCTGGGGTGAGGTGGGGCAGAAACACCTCCATGCCTCCCTAGAGCTCAAGGGAACAGGAGCAAGCCCCAGGCTGTGAGCTCCCCTACGGCCAGTGCCGGCCCCAGGCCTGGCAAAGAAGCAATGGACAAATGAATGAAGGAGTGAAGTCACGTGACCTTGTTCCGCCTTATTTCTGTCCGGTCAAGCGGGAGAATCGTATTTACCCTTGGGACTGCTGAGGGCAGGAGAGATGGTGTCCTGTACCAGTACACAGGGCAGGGTAGGGGGATGCAGTGTGTGGGGCTGACTTTGACTCCCCACCCCAACCAGGGTCACCCCACAGAGCTCTGTGCCCATAAATCTCCAGACTTGGCCGCAGAGAGGAAAGAAGCAAACCTATGAACCTGCTCTCTGCCCACCTCCTCTAGAGGCCACCAGTCCTGACTCCTTCTCTTCAGCTCCTGAGATGTTGGGGAGAGGACTTGATGATCAGAAGAAACTCCAGGTGCTGAGGAGGACAACTGGGCTGAAGCCCTGGATGGGCCCAGGATGCCCCCAGCTGGCCTCCCACATCCTGCCCACAGTGCAGCCAGCCACCAAGAGGTCCTGCTGTCAGCCAGCGGCCGCCAGGAGGGCCCCGGGAGTCACCTCAGTGCGGGAGAGGGTAGGGGAAGAAAAGTCTGTCCTCTCTGTTCACACCTGGAACGAGGACTTCTCCTGGAGCCCAATGGGACGCAGGGACCAGGGTCACTGTCCTTTTAAGGACTGTTTACCGCCAAAGCCCGAAGACCAGGTTACGCAGTCATTGCCTGAGTCAGGGCCCAGCCTGCCCGGAACCGTCCCTCCCTCCGTCCACCTTCCCTCACAACAACACTCATCTACTCAGTGCATCCTCTTGTCTCTGTTTTTCATGTGGCAGGTGTCTCTCAACTCCTGCCCAATTCACAGATGAGGAGACTGAGGTTCAGAGTGGCCCAGCGTCCACCGAGGGTCGCACAGCCACAGGAGTTCCGGGGCCTCGGCGAAGCCCACACAGCCCGTGTTGACAGCGGAAGAGGTGACAATGTCACCTGGGATGGGGTGGGGCAGAGTGATGTTGGGGTGCTAAACTCTGCCCGATGGGAGCTGCGGACGCAGCTGAGGTCACCCACACTCCTCTCCCCCGCCCCCAGATGGGGAACTGAAGGTGGGCGACACCGGGCAGCAGGGGCTCTGGATCCCGCCGCGGGCGGGTCACTCACCCCTCGGCGTCAGCCTAGGGAAATGGGCGTCCAGTCCCGGGGGTCCAGCCTAGTGAGCCTTCGCGGGCCGAACCCACTGCCCCGGCCCCCTCTCCCGGCCCCCCTCCCCCTGCTCCGCTCACCGGACCGCCGCCGCCCTCGCTACATTGTAACCCGCCGCCGCCCTCGCTACCTTGTATCCGGCTCCGCCGCCCGCTGCTGCCGCCTGTGGCCCGGAGGCTCATGACACGCCAGCGCGACCTAAGGTCCGCGCGCCCTGGCTTCCACGGCCCCCTCCCGGCCACGCGAAGACACTTCATCCCTGTTGCTCAAGGAAACCACTCAACAGCAGCGGGTCTTTTTTTTTTTTTTTAAGGTTCAAGGGAGGGTGGGGGCTTTATTTTCGAGATTTCCAGTAATTAGAAAAGCCCTAGTTTAAATAAATCAAAGCGACAAGACTTTTTTTTTTTTTAAAAAAAAAGGTAGTATCTTATTTTTTTTAAAAACCCCAGTGGCTGGGAGAAATAAGTAGTGGGAAGGAACGGCAGCAGCTGCGTGTGCTCAGCGCTTCCACCCACACGACCCTGTGTGGTCTTCGCAGCCACCAGGAAGCGAAGCGTTGTCACTCACCACATTTTATAGATGAGTAAACTGAGGCACAGCGAGGTTACCAGCTGGTCAGTGGAGAAGCAGAGAGTGGGACTTTGGGGCTGATATTTACTGCTTTCCAGTTGTTTACAAACTCGAAGAAGCAGGCTGCCCCGCCCCAGCGCAGCAATTGGTGTCTTCACTCAGCGTGTCTTGCACCCACAGGAGCCAAGGACACACCAAGGCAGACACGGGACAGCGGATGGAGTGTGGGGCCCCCTAAACCCTGGGACTCAATTTCCCCTCCAACCCAGCTTGGCCCTGTCCCTCGTCAGCTGCGCATGCCCTGTGTCTGGGTTTTCTCATCCGGAGGAGCCGCCTCTTGGGATCGCTGGCCTAGCACCTTCCCAGCTGGGGCCCAGAGAGCTGGGCTGGTTGCACTCAGACCTTCGGGGTGGGGCCTGAGGGCAGACCAGCCAATCACATGGCTAGGCCCGAAACGTCGTCCAATAGGACCCATCACACAGGATGGTGCCGGGCCAACCAGAGCCCCTCTGGAGAGTGTAAGCCACATCGCCCGGTACCAGCCACTTCCGACGGCGTCGGTTTGGGGCTGTGTCATCATGGGGCTCTTGCCTCCCCATTTTGACAATGCAGTTGGATTTTCTGTCAGTGTCACCCAGCACTGATCTATTTGTTTCTTGCTGCAGGTCACCTGGACCTATCTCTCCTTTGCAACTTAAGGACACTGATTATTCCCATAACAAACCCCCCACACACACCACCTGCGATGGATGGGAGGGCCGCATGTCCTTCCCTCACCTCCCCCACACGCTGGCAAGTGAAAGCCTAAGCACCTGGGCTGAGTACGCATCCACCTCTGAACAGTGGGTAACCTTGGTCCTCAGCTTCCCATTGAAAGCCCTCCTGGGGTTACTGTGCCCTTCCCAAGATAACGGCCATGAAAGCGCTTTGTCCGTGTGCGAGGGATTGAGATGGCTGTTCCAGACTGTTCCCTCGCTGCTCAGCCAAGAAGGATAGAAGCCCACGCACCCTCTTTCACCACAGCTGGGGCAGGTTCTGAACCCCAGGACCAACCAGAGCCTCCAGGAGAAGGTGGGAGCCTGTGCTAGGGTTCAGCCCCCAAGGGGTCCGTTCGTGTTACCTATTACTGAGTAACAAACCATCCAACACTTTGTGGGGGTAAATAAGAATCATTTTATTATGCTCACTAATTCTGTGGGTCAGAAATTCAGACACAGCAGACATTGTTTGTCTCTGCTTCATGATGTTTGGGGCTGGGGGTGGGGGTGGGGGTCTCCACTCCCACGCCTGCTCCTAGACAGGACTCAGTCTTCCACATGCTCGGTGGAGCCAGCGCAGAGCAGGTACCGGAAGCAGCAGCTGCTGGTGTCACCTTCATGGCTCAGCATGCCCACAAAAAAAAAAAAAAAAAAAAAACACTGCTGTGGACTCATAGCGACCCTACAGGACAGAGTAGGACTGCCCCATTGGGTTTCCAAGGAGCAGCTGGTGGATTCGAACTGCCTAATTTTTGGTTAGCAACCGTAGCTCTCAACCACTACGCCACCAGGGCACCCAGGACAGCCTGAATTAGGGCCAGGATCCTAGACACAGGCCCCTTAGAGGGTTCAGTCCCCCGTGAGAAGTCAGAGTCAGCTGTCGTTGCTGCCTTCCTCTTCTTGATCAATCCCCTGGGTTGCGGAGGGGGGCAGAGGGAGGTGGTTAGAGAGGAATCCAGGCCCTGGGTGGTCACGGCTCCCAGGTTTTGTTTTCTGCAGGAGGGCTGCTGGGAAGGACAGCATGTCACTGGCTGAGGCCCATGCCTGGTCCTGAGGACACTGTCACTGACTGGCTGGACACACCCATGTTTTTTGAGGAGTGCTCAAGTACCCTCCTAGTTTGGGCTTCAGGTCTAATGTCAGCCTCTGTCTTCTAACATCCAACACATGCATTAGCCAAGGAACCCTGGAGGGGACACTTTGTCAGACCCTCCCAATGGGAGACCAGAGAGTGAGCATGGGGCTGTCCCTCAAGTCACCCAGAAGCTGCTCCAAGAAGCCCCTCAAGGATGTGCTGGTAAGAGTTGGCTTGGGCTCAGGCCCTTCCTTCTTCAGGGTCCCTACTTCCAGGAGCCCCAAGCACAGGCTGTCTAAGCCACCAGCCTAGGAGACAAAGCCCCTCTGCCTTGCCTCTGCCTGGACCTCCCTGCCAGCCCATCCTCACCCCTCTGGGCCCAACTTCCCAGAATAAAAAGAAACCTCTAGCACCAGGCAAGGATATCTGACAGCAATAAATTTATTAAGTATCCAAAAAAATAAAAATCAACGTAAACCATTAAAAAACAATACAAACCATAGATGTCAAGCCTGGAGCCACAATAAAACAAAGAGACACTGGAGCAACACATAAATGGAGGGCAGAGGATAAGAGCTGGGGGCCTGTGGGGCAGGGGCAGCATGAATACTGAGTGACAAGAACTCGGGGACCCCAGACAAAGCGGCTGGCAGCTGGGGCGGGCACAGCTGAGGGCTGTGCTGGGGGCTGGGGCCCTGGGGACAGATGTTGCTTCCCTGCCCACCCCACGGCCCGGCAGCTCCAGCTGGAGGCCTTCACTTGGGGCCCTGGACCTCCGACTCCTCCTCGTCATCCTCATACATCTCGCCCTCCTCCTCGGCTGTGGCGTCCTGGTACTGCTGGTACTCGGACACCAGGTCATTCATATTGCTCTCCGCTTCGGTGAACTCCATCTCATCCATGCCCTCGCCCGTGTACCAGTGCAGGAAGGCCTTGCGCCGAAACATGGCGGTAAACTGCTCTGAGATACGCTTGAACAGCTCCTGGATGGCCGTGCTGTTGCCGATGAAGGTGGAGGACATCTTGAGGCCACGGGGTGGGATGTCACACACAGCCACCTTGACGTTGTTGGGTATCCACTCCACGAAGTAGCTGCTGTTCTTGCTCTGGATGGCCAGCATCTGCTCGTCCACCTCCTTCATGGACATGCGCCCACGGAAGACGGTGGCCACGGTAAGGTAGCGGCCGTGGCGTGGGTCACAGGCCGCCATCATATTTTTCGCGTCGAACATCTGCTGGGTGAGCTCGGGCACGGTCAGAGCCCTGTACTGCTGGCTGCCCCGGGCGGTGAGTGGGGCAAAGCCGGGCATGAAGAAGTGCAGGCGGGGGAAGGGCACCATGTTGACAGCCAGCTTTCGCAGATCTGCGTTGAGCTGCCCGGGGAAGCGGAGGGAGGTGGTGACGCCGCTCATGGTGGCCGACACAAGGTGGTTGAGGTCGCCGTAGGTGGGCGTGGCCAGCTTGAGGGTGCGGAAGCAGATGTCGTAGAGGGCTTCATTGTCGATGCAGTAGGTCTCATCTGTGTTTTCCACCAGCTGGTGGATGGACAGCGTGGCGTTGTAGGGCTCCACCACGGTGTCAGATACCTTGGGCGAGGGCACCACGCTGAAGGTGTTCATGATGCGGTCGGGGTATTCCTCGCGCACCTTGCTGATGAGCAGCGTGCCCATGCCCGAGCCAGTGCCCCCACCCAGTGAGTGGGTCAGCTGGAAGCCCTGCAGGCAGTCGCAGTTCTCACACTCCTTCCGCACGACATCCAGGACTGAGTCCACCAGCTCTGCACCCTCTGTGTAGTGACCTTTGGCCCAGTTGTTGCCAGCTCCACTCTGACCTGTGGGGGGAGACAAGGAGGAGACAGACCCAGGTCAGGGCTCTCAGGCCAGACATGAAGCAGCCACTGTGGAAGCCAGGGGCATCTCTTCCCCTTTCTGTGAAGTGGGGGTGTCCCCACAGGGCACATCTCCCATACTCTGCATGGCTTCCACTGCGCCAACAGTGCTGAGTGTTGGGACCACACTTGCTGGGTGCCCTGTGGTAAGGAGTCTGGGCAGGGAACTGGGAACCAGGGTTCTGGCTCCAACTGACACTGGGAGGGGTCTTTGGTAAGTCACTTATGTTCATTGCTCCCACCACCACCCAGCCCATCCTCCCTTTGGCCGGCTGCTAGGAAACTTAAACCGCAACCCCAGAGTCCCTTGCAGCTAGCTCGGTTCTGGATGTGAATTCATGTCCATCAGTTAGATGGCTGGAGGCCATTTTCTGTTGTTGTGAGTGTCCAGCATCCAGCTGCCAGGCTCACTGGCACACAGGCACCTGCCATGGGCATGGACAGCATCCTGCACTCTCAGCTCAGGTGCACAGGGCCTCGACTTCTTTCACCCAGTTCTCCATGTTGCTGTAAGCACTTACTTCTCTGTGTTACACCTTGTTCTGGGTGAAATCCTTCGAGTGGTTCTGTTTCTGCAGGGAACCCTGACTTTCACCCTGAGGACTCTGGTGCTGAACTGACTTGGCGCTTCTGATGCATGCCCCCCCCCCATCCCCACCATGGTAGATTGGGTTTGCCTGCAATAGGGTCAACAACAGAGGCTGGGGCAGGGCAGGAGGACTTACCAAAGATGAAGTTGTCAGGCCTGAAGAGGTGCCCAAAGGCCCCGGAACGGACGCTGTCCATGGTTCCAGGCTCCAGGTCCACCAGAATGGCTCGAGGCACATACTTGTGAGCTGGGGGAAGGGCAGTTATGGAGTTACAGAGGGTCCCCTCCTCCTTCATTCCCCCAAATCTCATCCTACCCTATGGCCTCTGCTTTGACCCTTGGCCCTCAGTGTCAAATCTGGAGCCAAAAGCCTGGGGCCAAGGCCTAATCCTAGGTCCACCATATAATAATGAGGGTCACAGTCAACACCCCAGGACAGTCACGATCAGTCGGATGGCCCAGGAATCAGGCCCAGTATCTCACTAGCTCCCCATGGAAGACACTCTGCACCAGTCACTAAATAGCCCTGCGAGCCTTTCAGTGGCCCTCCACTGCCCCACCCCCCACCCCACCCTGTCCAACTATGGCCGTGCACCTGTGCAGAGGTCCTTCAATCCCTTTGGTCTCCTCTAACCTGTGACTTGTCTGCTCTGCAACTCTGGTTGCCCACCCAAAGGATGCACTGCTGGCCTCTAGAAGGCAGCGATGCTGTGGCCTGGCCATCAGTGTGCCACCCCCAGGCTGGCCATCAGTGTACCCCTCTCCCCAAAGGCCGGCCAGGGTAGGATGCTCACAGGAGGCCTCGTTGTAGTAGACGCTGATCCGTTCCAGCTGCAGGTCTGAGTCCCCCACATAGTTGCCACTGGGGTCGATGCCATGCTCATCACTGATGACTTCCCAGAACTGTAGGAGAGGGTGTGAGTGAGGGGGCCTGGGCCTCCACTCACCCACACGCTTATGACTGTGGAGGAGAGCCCGTCCTCCATTCTCTCTGCACCCACCTGGGCTGTTTATCATCATTCCCTCCTTCCAGAGGCAGAGAGTTGCCTACAGCAAGTGACAGAGCAGGGATCAGAGCCCAGAGTCCCAGCCCACATTCTTGGCCAGAGCAAATCATGTCAGGGACTTCCCTGGCAGTGCCTGGCTCTTCTTTGGTCAATAAGGACCCCAGAGGCCCATAGAGCCCATCTCAAGAGTTCCCCCAATCTGGTCTGCAGAGAAACCATGAAGCCCCAAGTGGGGATCGGCTGACCTGAGGTCTCCCAGCCTGTCTATGGCCCAGCCCTAACCCCCAGGGCTCACTCTTGCCCCGATCTGTGCCACCACCTTCCTGCTGTGGGAAGAAGCTCCTGGGCACTTTTCAAATCTGTTCCCCCGACTTCAGCCAAGTGGGGCAGCAAGAGAGCAGGGTATGGACCAGGAATCTGGCCACATGCCTTCTCAGCTCTCTGACCTTGGGCAAGTCATGCGGACTCTGCCTCACCTGTAACATGGGCCTGATCATGAAAACAGGATGGTAAGAAAAAAGTGTTAATCCTTGCAAAGCATTTGAATAGTGTCTCGCATGGTACATTATCAGCACAGCGTGCACACACAGAGGCCTGCCGAAGAACTCTCCACCGCCCCCAGAGACACTTCCCTGATGACTGGCCATGGAGCCGGGGGCCTAACTTGTCACACACTGTGACTTCTGAGGTTGCCCGTCCTCTCCCCATTCTCTCATTTACTCCTTAGAGATGGAGTGACTTTCCGATGAGTTAATGGGTGTAAAGGCCCTGAAACACAAAGGGCCTCTCTACATGTGAGTCACATGCTTGTGAAATGATTACTCAGTGAGAAAAGCAGGTTACAAAACAGCGTGCAATGTGCTTATTTACATAAGGATGCCTCTGGCAGATGCACAAAACCCACTCAGAGCAGCTGCCCCTGGAGATGTGTGGTCCCAGCTGGGAGAGAAAGACTTCTTTTCACCGTATGCCCTTTGGTGCTGCTGGAATTCCCTGTTACATGCTCGCATTAACTTTGCAAAAAAATTTTAGTTGAAAATAAAAAGAAACAAAAAAATACAAACAGTGTAATTATTATAAAAGGCACACAGATGTACGCTTGGCAGTTCATCATCAGAGACTGTTCAGAGGTCAGTGCTCAGCAGGGGGAGGGGAGCACTCCTTCCCCTGGGTGCATCTTTGTCATTGCTAAGTTTTCTTCTTCTTTTTGCATTAAGCATATGTTAGTTTTGTAGTTTGAAGAAATAAAAACACAGACATGTCACTGAGGCATTTTGTGACCTGGTCTGAGCCCCTTAGCCTGCTTCTTCATCTCCTCTGCTCGAGGCTGTGTTAGAGAAGCAGTAGGTCTCCTTGGTCCCCACAGCCCTGTGGCACCCCTAACCTCTGACTTCAGGGACACCCACAGCCACAAGACCCTGCTGGCTCATAAAGGAGGTGTGCATGGGGCCAGGAGACAGTAACCCTGCCACCATGCCATTAACACACCCATGGAAAGTTCTCTACAGCGTTGGCCTTGGTTTCCTCATCTGTAAAATGGACATGACAACAGTACCTACATCAAGTGGTTAGCACAAGGCCTGGCATGTGGAAGCATTTAGCAGTGTTGGCTTCATTATGTTAAAGGGCCTTAGATACTATCTAAAATTTAAAAGTCACGTGCATAAGAAATTTAAATTAAAAATTAAAAATAATTTTAAAAAATCAATATACGTTGGAATACTGTGGAGCAGTATGAGGTACATCAATACTAACGTTGACTACATCTCCACCACAGATCCTCAAGTGAAAAATCTAATTGCACAATGATGTGCAGAGCAAGAGTAAAATCATGAAATGAGGTACATTTTCCTATAAAGATATGTATATGGCATGCATAGGAAGGGCAGTGAATGAAGCAGAGCCAACTCAGCCCCCCTTCTCCTGGAGAAGGACCTGACGTGAGGGAGAGGATCAAGGGGAACTTTAGCCTTATCTGCAATGTTTCAACTTTATACCTCTTACAGGAGAATATATTAATAATTGCTTGTGCAGTTAAAATTAATAAAAATTTTAAGTAATTTAAAACAATAGTTATATTAGTAAAATATAGACTATATCATTTAATAAATAATAGTTCCTTTGTATTTAATTCACAAAATTCTATTTTATCATTATCACCACTACAGATGAGAAACTGTCTGAGATGACGCGGCGCTCCCAGGGCTGCAGGCCAGGCCCCTATTTCAGATCCCGCGGTAGGGGTATTGATCAGGCAGCCACCTCGGGTTGCGGGTAGTCCCTCCCGTCAGGCCTTCTCCCCCTCCTCTCCCGGTTGAGGTCGCCCTTCCGGGCACCCCGTGGACGCTGTCCATGGTGCTGACGCCTTTGCCGCGCCCGGACGCAATTGCCTCAGAGCGAGCCGGGCGGGGGGAGGGCAGGGAAAGGGCGGCCCCCAGAGAGCAGGCTGGGAGACTCGAGGGCTGTGGCAACCCCCCCGAGCCCCCTCTCGCTCCGCACACCACGGCTCCACCGTGACCCATTTAGGCCAAGGTTGGGGTGGAACCCTCGAGTGACGAAAAGGGGAGGGGGGAAGGACAGGAAATCCCTCCTCCCATTGGCTGTCAGGGCAGGGCCCCGCCCCGGAGGCTCCGCCTAGCAGCCAGGAAGGAGGGGGCCCCGGAGGACAGCAGGCAGAAGGCGGTGCGCAGACAAAGAGGGCTCCCGGGGGAGAGTGGGGTTGGGGGCACCAGGCTCCCAGGAAAGGGGTCCTAGCGGGCAGCGAGAGGAAGCGGGAACCATGGGGTGGGGTGAGGGGTCTCCAGATTCATTGGCCCTGGTGGGAGGACGGGGGGCATCCGCCCAGCCCACACCTCCTGCAGGTTGCGCAGCCTGACTTATCCACACAGACCTAGACTCAAATTCCTGCCTCTCCCTTACCCGCAGTGTGACCCCATCCTGGGGAATACCCATCTCACCGGGTCGTTTATTAAATGAGGTGACAAGTGTACAGTTCCTAGCACAGCGCCCAACTCACAGTAAACGATGATTGTTATAAATTTATTAATGTCACCTTGTCACCACTCAAGAGAATCTTGCTCCCTCTTGGCCCTACTCGCCCTGACATCCCCACACGGCCCCCACCCCCACTCCTGGCCAGGCCCCCCAACCTACATGCTGCACCAGTTGCCATGAAGGGCAAGGGGACAGGGAAATGGCTCCCTGCCCACTACAACCAGCTGCAGCAGTGATGGGCCTGGAAAAGTTAATTCTCCCCGTGGCCTCTGCGCATCCACACCAGGAACCCCACACCATCCCTGAGTGGATGACACACCCAACAAACTTTCTGTCCCCAGAGGCAGATGCTGAGTTCTGGATGGCCCAGTGGTATGATGGAAGCGCCCGGATTTACCCAGCCCCTTCCCCACTCAGGGCTGTCAGCACTTAGTTCATTTGCTCTCTGGGACCTTCTGGGGAGGGGAGGCTGGAGGGAACCCCACTAAACTAAGAAACATTGGTTACCTCAAAGAGTAGCATTGAACAAGGGAGAAGCAAAACTATTCTTTCCCAAAATGCACCTCTCTGTTGTTTGAATTGTTAAAAAATAAATATATGAATTTAACCAACATACATTAAGAAAAAAATAAATAAAAGGAATAAAAAACAATAGGCAAAGCCAAGGGCCACACTGCTGAACAGAAACAAACCAAGGAGACTGTCCAGCGCTGTGGTCACTGCACCTCCTCACCTTCAGTCCATTAGGCTCAAAGGAGCTGGTGTGGTGCTGGCTTCTAGCCACAGCTCTGCCTTGCCTGGTGGCCTTATGGGCTTGTCCAAGCCACGGAAGGGGGGAGGTGTAACTGGATCATCCCTACCCCAGCCCCTGGACCACCTGCCCTTCCTGATCCCTCCCCAGTGACCCCTGGCCTTTCTAGGAGCAGATGTTCAGGGCAGGCCTGGCCCCTGTGACCACCTTAATGAGCCTGCGGCCCCTGAGACCTGTCCAGGGCAGCTGTCTTCAGCTGCCCCAGGAGTCTTGATTTGATTTGAGTCTCCCTTCCCCCACCTCCCCTCCCTCCGCCCTCCTCCTTGGGCAGGCACAGCTGCCCCCTCGGTGTTTAGGGAGTCTCCTCACTACCACCACCCCCCGCGTCAGAGGCAACTCCACCCTAAAGCGAACTTGCAATTTACAGTCAGCAACGTCACTGCCCCTCTCCCTCGTTGTAATTAGCTTTTTGTTCTGCCTGGTTTCCATGGCAACAGCCTCCAGAGGAAGGTTTCCTCGGCCCCTTCCCCTCCAGGACTTGTCTCCTCTCACCCTCTCCTTCAGGGAGCTACTCAGCACCATCCTGGAGCAGGTAGTTTGATCCCACCCTGTATTGTTTCCAGGAAAGCTCCAGGTAGCAGCAGGCCCCACCAGCCCAGAATCCTCTGCAGAGCCAGTGGTGACACTGTCTTGCATCTGCTGTGTGACCTTGGGCAAGGGACAATCTCTCCAGACTTGGGACTGTGACACTTGCCTCATGGTTTGGTTGGGGACTACGAAATCACTTCCTTAGCTTCCCTCAGGGTCGACTTCCAACACCCCTTTCTTCCTCAGTCCCCTCATCTGGTAGATGGGCCAGCCGTCGAGGGGGATAATGCAGCTCCTACCCCTGACAGCTCGGGCTTTGTTCCCAGGTCCGGAACTCCGGGAGGCTCCAGGTGGGCGCGGTCACCCCTCCCCCCTCCCTTTGCCCAGGCGGAGCTACGCTCTGGGGAGAGCCGAGTCCTGCGCCAAGGTCACCCCGTGATCTGGGCCCAACACCCTCAACAAAGGAAATGGGTGAGGCCAGGACACTGAGAGGCTCAGAGTGAGGATGGGAGCACGGGGGCGGCTGTGGCTGCTCTGAGGATATCTTGCTCCTCCAGTGGGGGGAGGAAGGGATCATTATGGCTTTTAGAGGCAGCCCCACCCAAACTTGCCCAACCACTCCAACCCACTGAAGGCTGAGTTTGGGTCCCAAAGAAGAGGGCCACGCCCAGGCAGAGAGGCCAGGGTCGCCTGCCCCGCGCCCCAGCAGCACTGCCGCACCCGATGGAGAAGAGCGCAGGGGTAGATGGAGCTGAGGCTTAGCTGCCAACGAGCGCTCCGCTGGGACAGGCCCGAGGTAACCTGGGCAGGGGCAGAAGAGGCGGGGGTGAGGCGGCGCAGGGCGGGGATCCCAGCGTCCTGGTCGCCCGGCACCCGGCCGAGCTCATCCCTTTGTTCCCGGCTTCGCAGTCCGGGTGCGGCTCGGGGTGCGGCTCGGGGTACGGCCCGCAGTGAGCATCGTCCCCTCGGGCCGGCTCCGGCGGGGACACGGGCAGGGGAGGGGTGCGCAGCCTCACCTTGGCCCCGATCTGGTTGCCGCACTGGCCGGCCTGGATGTGCACGATCTCCCTCATCTCGGCGCTGGCGGCTGCAGGACGGCACCGACCCAGTTAGCTGCGGAGGCCCGGCGGCGCCCGGCTGCGCGCTCTTAAACGCGGTGCCGGGCTCGCCCGCCCACTCGCGTCAGCACTGCGCAGCCAATCCCGGGCCTCCGCGGACTGCGGCACCGGTTCCGCAGCATCAGCACCGCGCATCCGCCCATCTCCGCGCACAATGCGGCGGGCGTGGCACCTTCTCCGCCGCCCGGTGCAGCTGGGCTGGACCCGGTCGGGCCCTTGGGATTTGGGCTGAGCGCACGGAGGGAGGGGCGGCTCCACGACCAGCCGGCCATGGGGGCGGTGGGCTCTAGGAAACACAATAGAAGCCTCCTGGCCCTCGGACCCCACCCCAGCTCGGAGGCGGGGCGAGAACCAAGAGCTGTTAACATTTGCTCTTTGGCCGCCAACCCCCCCACCCAAGCAGCCCCACCCTGCGGCTTTGTAAGGAAGGTCTTTCTTCTCCCTACATCGTTTAGGGACCAACCCCTTGTCTGTGGCATGGATGAAGAGACAAGGTACTCTGGGTTTTCCGGATCCTTTGGGGAGGGGCCCTAAACCCTCTGAGAAGAAAGAAAGCCTCAGGGCGGGGAGGGACGGCTGTGGGTACCGGGGGTCATGGGTCACTGTCTGCTCGGTGAATGATACCTGCCTCCCCCCCTCAAGGGCCGCGCGGAGAATCAAATGAACCTTGGTCTGAGGGTGCTTTGCAGCACGACCCCATTCCCCAGAACAGTGCCTGGCCATAGCTGGGCGCAGTGAGTGTCGGTGTCCGGATTTATCATGAGGTCGCACAAGGCCTGTGAATGTGCCAGCGAGGGGCTGAGGGGGGTAGGGTGGGGTTGGTGGTGTCTGACTCACTCCTCTGATGTCACCTGTACCCAGGGGGCTCAGTCTTGGGCCTCTTGGTAAAAATAAGGCCAGCCCAGGCTTCTGACATGGGGGGTGGCTGGAGGTGAGGGTTGGGCCAGCTGTGAACCACCTCTGTAGGGAGACTGTGTGTGCATGGGGTGGGGACTTTGGGGGACAGCTGGGAACGAGGGGCCATGGCCAGTTTTCTGGAGGGAGAGAGTGAAACAGGAAAGTGGTATACATACATACACATCACAGAGAGAGGCATGCACACGGACTCTCTCACATACACAAACACACATATAGATTCACACACACAGGCACACACACACACATAAACACACACACTACTGGCTGAATATTCTCCCAGGGTCAGGCTTTACAGTGAAACCACCTTATCATAAGTCCTTCTGATATCTCATAACAAAGCCCTTCAGGAAGAGTCTCAGCTCCACAGTGAGATGATTCACAAACAAGCCACACCATCTCACGCCCCCATCCATTTTGTGGACACCAGAGTGTGTCTGGGTGGGTGTGGCCATGTGTCCACCCCACTCTCTTCTCTCTCAAGAAAATCAGCTCAGTGTGGCAAGTCTAGAAATCGGCTCTTTTGTTCTCAAGAGACGCCCCCTCCTCCACAATGCGTCCAGGAGGTGGCTTTTTGTGGTTGGCTCCCAGTGCCTGGAGCCCTCCCTGTCCCTGTCAGGTGGTCCTTGGTGAGCATTTGGCTCTTGCCTGGACCCTGGAGCTTGCTGCTGCCTCCTTGTCTGAGCAGGAGTAGGCTCTGCAGCGTCACCCATCCTGCCTCCCTGCTGGTGGCACTGGGCCAGACCAACTCCCATCTGTCCCCAGAGTATTCTGGTGCCGGTTCAAGCCTGACTCATTGTCCCACCTCCCAGCAAAGGCTAGTGCTGCCGGGAAGCAGCTCTCAGCCCCATGGCTGGCAGTCGGGACCGGCTGGGCCAGGCTGGGCTCTGGTAGTGGAGGGGTGGGGGTGGCTGGCTGCATTACTGAGCCTCCCTGAGCTCTTACCAGGAAGTCAGTGGTTGTTGGGCAGCATGGCTGTGAGGAGACTGTGGTGGACTCCAGAGTGAGGAGGGGCGGGGGCAGACTGCAAGGCCCACCCCCAGATGCCAGCTCCCCTTGGACTTGCAAACCCGTCGAACCCTTGCAGCCCCTGAGCAGCCTGAGGTCTCAGCCCATCATGGTCATCGAGGCCTTGTCTCAAATGTCCTCCGGCCAGGGCCACCCTGCAGGTGGCCACCCTCAGGGTGTCTCTGGGCAGACTGGGGGCACCCATCGTGTGTCAGAGCTGGAGGGGCTGCAGAGGGGGTTGGAACTGATGGGCTGCTTTCTGCTCCATTGGGCAGTTTGTATCCATGGAGAAAGAACAGATAACATGGGAGTCAGAGTGGGCAACTTGGGGTCTCCACGCTCCCCCGTGAGGGCCCTCCCAGTGGGCACTCGGGTCCTCAGGCTTTGGTTTTGTCACCACAGTTGACCTGGTTGGTCTCTGGGACTCACTTCTCCTCCCTCAGCCTTCCATCCTGGCTTCCTCCTCCCTCTCCACTCCTCTCCTATGAGCTTCCAGGAGGCGGTGGGATGAGGAGGTGGATAAGGCTGTCATAGCATGGTTTTATTACCTGATCCCTCACACCCAAATGAATGTCTATTGATCGCTGGGCACAGGCAGATTCAGGCTGTCTGCCAAAGGCGGCTATTGAGCCCCAGCTCTCTGGTCACAACCAAGCCCTAGAACTGGCCCTCAGAAGGGGTCACCACCCCCTCACCCAAGACAGAGCTCACTTCTCTACAAGGTGGGCACTTTGTGGCACATGGCTCTGCCAGTCACAGTCCTCCTGATGCCAGCAGTGGGCACCCCTCAAGGGCTTCTTGCCACTCTTACCACCATGATCCCCGCTGACAGGGGCAGACGTCCGAAGGTTCAGGTGTAAGCAGCAGAGGCAGGGGAGTGCAGCTATGGAGTGGGCAGGAGCCATGGGCCTCCCTCCAGCTTCCTTCATCCCCACTGCCTCCTCAAAAGAGTCCTGCCTACAGCTTCCTGCTATTCCTCCTCCTGGTCCTGGAGGAACCATGCTGCAACACCTCGGAGACCACCTAGTCCATCCTCTTTGACAAAAAGGAGACGAGAAGACCCAGTCAGGGCCATAGGACACCCTCTGCCACCCACCCGCCTGTCCTACCAGGAGCACAGCAGCACCTCCTTGAGTGTCTTGCGGAGCTCCCGGCTGCGGAAGGCATAGATGAGGGGGTCCACGATGGAGTTGCAGATGATGAGAGTGAGGAAGAGTTTGAAGTTCTTGAAGACGCAGCTGCAGGTGGGGTGCTGGGGGCAGAGGACGATGAGTGTGAGGTGCAGGAAGAAGGGGCCCCAGCAGAGAAAGAAGGAGCCCAGCAGGATGGAGAGTGTGGCAGCACCCTTGAGGCCAAGGCCCTGGCGGACTGGGTGCCACCGCTTGTGTAGCCGGGCAATGCCGCGGGCGTGGAGGCAGGCCCGGGACAGCATGTGCACGTACAGCACCGCCATGAGCACCACCAGGGCCAGGAAGAAGCTGACGAGACAGAGCGGCACAGCAGTTCGGTCGTAGTAGGCAATGAAGAGGGTGCTGCAGAGCACACTGGCCACCCAGATGGTGGCAATGACCCGACGTGCCCGGGGCAGTGTCACGATGCTGTGGTAGCGAAGCGCATAGAAGATGGTGATGTAGCGGTCCACCGCGATGGCACCCAGGAAGCAGAGGCTGGACACCATGGAGCCGCAGATAAACATGTCGATGGCATTGTCCAGCTGCTGCACTATGCCTGCCAGTGAAGCCAGCATGCCTGCCTCCAGCAACAGCATGACAGCTGTCTCCAGCACGTTGCTCATGCTCACCAGTAGGTCGGACACAGCCAGGCAGCAGATGAAGTAGTACATGGGTGAGTGCAGGTTGCGGTTCTTGGCAATGGCAGCCACCACCAGCATATTCTCCACCAAGCTCACCAGCCCCAGCGAGAGGAAAAGCCCATCCGGGATGAACACCTCCAAGCACCAGGGGCCCGTCTGATTAGCAGCCAGCCCCAAGTGGGGTGCAGTGGGGGGCGTGGCATTGAGGGAGCCTCGCAGCCTCCCCTGGACTCCCTGCATGGGCATAACTCCCCACAAGTGGGAAGCAGTCCCAGAGGTGTCCAATGGGGCCCTCTGATTCCAGCCTGGTTCCCACTCTCCAGCACCCTGGTTAGTGCATGGTACCCATGGGGGCTTATGAGTCCTCACGCTCACCCCCTCCCTGGGCAGTCAGAGGCCTGCCCACACATTGCCTGGGTGTCTGGGCTCCCTGAGCCAGGAGCACACCCTGCACTCCATGGCTTCAGTCCTGTGAGGCTGCTCAGGGGGGCATGTCCAGGAAGCCTCCTCCTGCTGGTCCTCGTCACTCACCTTCGTGGCCGCACAGCTCTGTGGCTGCCGAGACTTCCTACCTTCTAGGACAAGGGCAGGGTGAGGTACAGGAAGAATAGGGCCTTTCTCCAGCCTCTTTAAAGGAGCGTGCAGGCCCCACCCCGAGGGCAACCACATGACAGCTGTACCCGGGACACAGAGGGAGGCACCCAGCACCCTGCCCTTGCCCCTCTCCTGTCTTGTTTCTCCTGCAAGCCTGGCCTCCCCAGCCAAGGACCCAGTGTCTGCTCACATGGTGCCTTCCTGACAGTACACCCCCGTCTGCAAAATTTTGAGCCCTCTCCCTAGACCCCCCTCAAACATACCAATGCCCACCTAACACCAAGCCGCTGAGGTTCAAGGTAAATTTGAGGGCCAGACTAGGGAGAACGTTCCATAATTAAATTTTGGAAACCAGTGGACAGGGTAAGAGGTGGGTGTGGGGGCTCCAGCCAGGGCAGAGGGTGCTGCAGGACAGGTTAGCCCTGGGAGGGGAAGCAGCAGCAACCCTCCCCTTAGCTGCAGCTCTGGGCCTGGGGCTCGACAGGTCCTGGGAGCTGAGGGGTGGAGGTGCTCTGTGACATTCACCAGGATCCTCTAGCCACATCCGCGGGGCAGGGGGGCAGCCCTCTCCCATGACGCCCCCATTTCCTCTACGGAAGAAGACCACAGGCCCCCAAGCCATGTACCACATCAAGGGCAGACTCCTTGTCTCCAGCTTTGAGGGCTGGGAGCTGTGCATGGTCGACTGCAAACCATTCACCACGGTCAGGACACCAGGCCAGGGTGACGGTGGGGGGCTCCCAGCCTGCTCTCGTTGAAGTCTGCGTTTGTGGGCGGGAATGGAACTATCTGTCCCAGTTACAGGTGGAGAACACGGGCAGAGGGGAAAGCAGTGGCTTGTTCAAAGTCAAGCCTGAGCCAGCAGGTGGGGATGGAAGCAGGGCCAGGCCAAGGGAGCTGAGAGTACGTGTATCTGTGACATTCCTGTTAAAACCTCCCCTGACATACGTGTGTCCACCTGACTGCCAGTCAACCCCAGGCCATGCAGACTTCACCTCACTCACATGCCGCGTGCCTGTGTGCACACACCTTAATACCCACTAGCTAACATTAGTCGCGATTACTAATCATCATTAATCACATCTGCATTTTACAACTTACCAATTCCCTTCACCCTTTTTGCTTTTTAAGACTTTTAATTGAAGTACAGCATACATACAAGTGCACAGACTGCGAATGTGCAGCTTGGCAGATGCCCAACCTGCACACATCCGCGCTATTAACTGCCCCCAAGGCCCATAAACAGAGTGTTTCCCCCAGGTCCCTTCCTGTTCCAGCGAGCTGCTACGCTGACCTCTATCCGTCCATTAATTTTGCCTGTTTTTGAACTTTGTAAATGAAATCATATGGGTTGCACTTTTGGGGGCCTGGCTCCTTTTCCCCACACTGCTGCCTGTCATGGGAATTCCTTCCCTCTGTTACACGGATGCCTCACACTTTTTTAATCCACTCTGCTGCGAGGGCTCTAGTAGTTCCTGTCACATGAGGTGCAGCATGGACGTGCTTACGTGTTCCCCTGATGACACCTAAGAGTAGAACTGTGGGGTCAGAGGCAGATCTTCAGCTTTAGATTTGGCCAAACCATTTTTCAAACTAGTGGCCCTGGTTTTCCTGTTCCTGGTGGGCAGGTGAGCCCTGCTCCCCCATCAACCCTCTCTCATGCACCTCTCTCAGCCCCCAGTCACTGGCCACACCCACCTCCCAGTACTTCCTCCCTTTCTCCTAGTGAGAACCATCAGAAGGAGTGGGGTCCCAGGGCATAGTAACAGCAGAGCCACGGTTGGGCAAGGTGGTCCCTGTATAAGCATGGTGCTGACATCACTGACCCTGAAGGCCCCTGGGCAGTCCCTGACCACATAGGGTCCTAGAACTCCCCACTTGCAGCAGATGGTCCCTGTGGGCCCTTGGGGAGGAAGTGGGTCCTCCAGGCCAAGCAGGCCCTGACCCCGGCTTCCCAGCCTTGGGTGGCTTTGAGGGCCTGTTCTGTGTCACTGCTTCAGGGTGTCAGTGTTTCTAACTTTGTGAATGAGGCCTTTGAGGAGGATGCTGTTAACCACCCCCCACCCCGGCCCTGAGACTTCAAAAGCGTGAGACAAAGGCGTGAGAATTGGACAACCTTTGGCAGAAAGCAGCCACAGCCCTCTTCCTGGCATCAGAAGTGGGGTGACCCTGCTCCAGGACTCCCACCTAAGTCCCTGGGTGCCCCAGCCAGTGGCGACATGGGCGGGAGATGACAGGTGCAGCTGGGCTGGGAAAGTCAACGTTCTGATTAGTTTTGGCCGGGGGACAGCTGATGGTCGCAGCTGACCATGGGCAACTTGTGTCTCTGTTCTGCTCTCTCCTGGGAGAGGAGAGTGAGGAGAAGCCAGACGCCCCGCGTGGTCAGGCGAGAAAGGGGAGCTGCTACAATATAACCCAAGAGCCTCTGCCCCCCGTCATCGCTGCTCCCTCACACTGCCGTCACCTGCGTCATCTCTCTACCTTGACAATGAGACTGAGCCTGCCTGAAGTGCCATGCCGAGGGTAGGAGCATGGGAGGAGGGCCTGGACGTGGGCCTCTTGCACGCACAGCTACCCACTCCAGCAATCTTCATCTTGGCTCCAGGAATGTTGAGTTCTCTGTGACCACGTGAGGTGAGTGGCTGCCTGGACTCCCAAGGTGAGGTCTCACGGGTTGGTCAGTCACACTGACCAGCCCCACCTCTGGTGGTTGGCTGGTGCTGGGGGGGTGGGGTTCCACCTCACCCCAACACAGGGAGGCTGCTTGTGGGCTGTGGCACCTCCCAAGAAAAACACCACCTTCTCCCAGAGTGGAAAGGAGGCGCCCCAACATGGTCAGTTGGGAGGGCACAGCCAGCCTGAGGCACGGGCAGCAGTGACATTGCTCAGAACACCCAGTCGTGGGCGTGTGCTCCTCCTGCGCTCCTTCTCCCCTGAGAACCCGGGGTGAACCTGCATTCCTCACAGCCTAGTGGCTTTCTGGGTAAGGGTCCTGCAGCCTTGGCGCTGTCTGCCAGCCTCCACCCCGGTGGAGAGTGGCTGACCTGGTGGTCTTGCACTCCTCACTAAGCCCACATCAAGGACTACAAACGCTGTTCTGAATTTCTGGGGCCCTGGCCCGACTCAGGGGACTTCCCAGTGGGAAGTGTTGCCTGGAGAGCACTTTCCACTGCCAACTCAGCCTCACTTAGGGCCCCAGGGCCAAGGCACGCAAACGCCCTTCCCCAAGTGCAGGGGCAGTGGCCAGAGCCTGAAGATCACGAGGGCCTCCTTCGCAGCCTCTTCCCCTGCTTTGAGGGGGTTAGGTACCCAGGAGTGAAAGGTTGAGGCTCAGGAAACAAGACACTGGGATCCACTCAGCTCGGGACAGCCTAGTACCCTGGATCCTTCCAGAAACTGAACAGGCTGGAGGTGTTGGCTGCCCTGTTTGGCTGCAGTCCCCCCAGGGGTGCAGGTTCCTGGCTGACACCGCCTCCCCCGGCCCCATACCAATCTGAGTGCCTCTTCACCTCTGGGTTAAGCTCCCCTGACCTGTGTCCTGTACTGAGCTCCCTTAAATGCTGGGCGCTGCCCTGACATTTTCCAATAAAAAGGTTTTGTCAGATTCTGTCTGTGCTGAGAGTAGGAGGGCCTGGGTACCAGAGCCCAGGGTGACCCAGAGCTGGTTACCCAGGCTCTGACCTGCAGCATCCCCCTGCTGAGGCCCCGGGTCTTGCAGGTGCCTCCTTGTTCAGGGCTAGCCCGTTTCAGGTTGATGGAGGCAGAGCTGCCTGGTGAACACCAGCTGACACACACAGAGGCTCCTGGTCCTGAGCAGGCACATGGTGCTGGAAAACCCAGTGGGACCCCTTCTCTGCGCCCCTGTATCCCAAATCCCAGAGCACACAGCAGCACTGGGGGTAGACTGAGGGAGTTATGGTGCACTGGGGGAGGCCCCCAGTCTGGGCCCAGCACCATGTGCATTTGGGTTTGTACTGGAGCCGATTATAAGTGCTGACCACAAGCAGTGGGTGGCGGGTGCTTATGGGCTTTGGGACAAGGACCAGCCCTGGGTCTGTGTGACCAGGCTTATATCCTAGGACAATGCCTTGGCGGTGGTGCTGACTCTAGGAAAAGAGTGCCGCAGGACAGAGCATGACCACCAACATTTATAGGTGCAGGAGACCAGGGACATTTATGGGGTCAGGAAACCACCGACATTCACGGGGGCAGGAGATCACCGACATTCACAGCGGGTGGGAGACCATCGACATTCACGAGAAGCAAAAGACCACTGACATTCACAGGTATGGGAGATCATCAACATTCACGGGGGCGGGAGACCACTGACATTTATGGGGACAGGAGAGGCAGCACTTCCACCTCCAGGACTAGTTGATCCAGCCAGAGCAGAAATCAGGGACACAATTGCAAGGCACAGGGATGTGGCTCTGTGTGCTCAGTCCCACTCCCCCTCCTCACCCTGGCCTTCGCTCTCCCCCTCCCCCTCCCCCTCCCCCTGGCCCTCACTCTGGCCCCCGCCCTGGCCCTCAGGGTTCTCCAGGTTCTCAGGATTCTCCCAGTTCTCCCGGCGCGGTAGGTCCAGGTCATTGAATTGGAAGTTGGCCATCATTTCACGCACAGCTATCATCAGCCTGTTCAGGCCCTGGACGCGGTCTAGGCCATCGGCTATGCCTCCTCCTTCTTCCTCCAGCCGCTCTTCTTGCAACCTGTCCTCCTGTGGAAATAACAGCCTGTGTGGGCCTGCGGGGGCCCACGTTCCAGGGTAAGTGGTCCCTACACCGATCTCCGTGGAGGAGGGGAAGCCCTTAAAGTTGGGCACAAGTCTAGGATTGTCCGACCTGAGCCTGGATGAGGGGACTGATTCCAGTGGCTATGAGCTGTCTTCCAGACCAGTCAGGGCACCCCCACAGGCAGGCCAGGCCCCAGGGTTCCCCTGTTAAACAGTCCAACTCCCAGCACAGATTCCACATACCCGTGCTGGGATGGGCTGCCTGGATGCCATTAGCAGAGAGAGGCCAGAGAGGTGGGTGGAGTGAGGCACAGTACCTACCTCCGTGGTGTAATTTGGCAACAAGGACCGGAAGAAGAGTGCCACTGTATTCGCCTGGCCAACAGGAGTTTGCCTGGAAGACAAAGTCAGGAAAGGTCAAAAGTGAAAATGAACCAACACCTTTTGGGATACGAGCCCAGCTCATGATGTTCCCATTTGCTGCCTCCTGCCCCCTTTTCCCCTCTCCCCCCAGCAGGGGTGGGAAAGGCAGCCCTAAGCAACAGGTGGAGAAAGTTGTCCAGCTAAGCTGGGGCCCTGGATTCCCAGAGTGGAATACCAGGACTGTGGGGTGGATAGTGAGGACGCCTGGTCAGCTCAACATTGGGCTGTGGGCATCGAGTGTAATAAGGCAAAGAATGGTTCAGATGCTACCAGGATAGGGAATCCAGAGTTGGGGCCTGGCCCTTTAGAATCTGGCACACTTCTAACACCCTGCAAAACCAACCCTGAGCCAAGTGGACAGCCGAGCCCGCCACAGCTGAGCTGGGCATCTGCCACAGCACAGCTGGCCTCATTAAGAAAAGCTGTAGCTGCAATATTTTCTTCCACGCTTAAACACTAGTCATATAAATATAGAAGATTCTAGAGCATATATTAAGTGGCGACCTCTATTCGTGAAGTGGGATATTGCTTCCTAGCTCTACTAGACACTTTAAAACCAACAATTGCCGTGGACTCCAACTAATGGAGACCCCATGTGTGTCAGAGTAGAACTGTGCTCCATAGAGTTTACAATGGCTGATTTTTTGGAAGTAGACTGCCAGATGTTTCTTCTAAGGTGCCTCTGGGTGGACTTCCAACCTTTCTGTTTGCAGCTGAGCATGTTAACTATTTGCACCACCCAGGGACTCTACTAGATACTTTGTTGTTGTTGTTTGCCGTCGAGTCAATTCTACTCACAGAGACCCTGTATGACAGAGTAGAACTGCCCCACAGGGTTTCCCAGGGTATAATCTTTACAGAACAGATCGCCAGGTCTTTTCTCCCATGAAGCCACTGGTGGGTTTGAACCGCCGACCTTTCGGTCAGCAGCTGAGGGCTTAATCATTGTGCTACCAGGGCTCCTTAGACAGTTTAGTAACCTATATGTAAGGAGCTCCAGGATGGCCAAAGCCTACGGTCTGCAAAAGAGTGGGGAGAACAGAACAAAGCTCTAAGTCAGCAAAGTACTACAATTCCTTAGCACTACAATATCCAGCATGTCATGAATCAGGTCATTTATTTTAAACCCATTGACATTAATAATTCTCATTTTAATCTATTAGGGAATTTAACTTGAAACTATTTCCCCATGAATTTGCAGGCGACAGTTTTACAACACAATTCTGTGGGGGGAAAAATGGACTTTACTCTACAAAATGTGTTCTATCCAGGTCTGGAAAGCACAGTGTGTCAGGAACTCCATTAAATGGGAAAATCTGCCTGTCTGTAACTTTTCCTTTCAGATCTACTATTTTGTGGGTGATGGACCCGGGGTAAGGCAATTATTCAGCATTAAAGGCCAGGAGGAAGGAAAACAAAAGGCCTTTCAATGGCCCAGATTCTGAAAGCTGTCTACATATACCCAGCAGGTCTGTCATATCAGGAGTGGCTGGGCTTTCACTTCATTGTTTAACCCACTGCCCTGCTCTCTGGCTTGGTCACATGGACGTTCTTTCAGTTCTCCAAACACACCTTATGCCCTGTTCCTTGCACAAAGCCTTTGCACATGCTGGCCCTTCTACTTGAAACCAGCCACCTTCCCACCTCTTCTTGGCTAAGGCATCTTCTTTTACAGCTCAGAGTCATACGAGTCTTTCCTACAGTTACCTATTACAATTTTGATTTTGTATTTACTTCCAGATTCTGTAATTAATGCTTGTTTCCCCCAATGCACTGGGCTCTAAGAGGGCAGAGGAAGCGTCTACGTGTGCTTTCCACTGTATCCCCACACGTGCTGCAGAATCTGAAAGAGCTCAGATAGAAGATAAGTAAAAGAACATGGCCTGCAGAAGTTGACCTGGTGACCCTAAATAACTTGATCCTTGTCCCCTTCTCCTGGAGATGGGGAAAATCCTCTTAAAACACCTGTATCTAATCTTCTTGGTCGGTGTCTGGAGGAGGTAGTGAGTCCCAGGGAGCCCTGAAGCACTAACTTCGGAGCTGTAGGAGCAAGAAATCAAAGACGTACCTCTCAGGTCTGACGTAGGAGTAGATGGTGTCCATAGGAGGCAGAGGATCAAAGCCCACCACAGACTGTGTAGTCACATCCTTCAGAAAGGGACACAAACAGACATGCTACAAAGTGATGCTAGGTGCCCGCTGGCACTTCCCCAGCAGTCTTTCCCCCAGACTCCAGGTTGGACTGGACTGAGCTGCAGGGAGAAGGTTGCAGAATCTGACAGAAATAGCTCTGGATGCACAGCTGTGCTTACTGTATTACAGATCTTTGGGTGAGTGGGTGGGGCAGCCCTTATTTGATGCAGATACCACGCTCTGCCCTGTACAGTGGGTTGTGAGGACAAAAAAAAAAACAAAACAAAACCCCAAACCCATTGCTGTCAAGTCGATTCCAATTCACAGTGACCCTATAGGACAGAGCAGACCTGCCCTATAGGGTGTCCAAGGCTATAATCTTTATGAAGCAGATTGCCACATCTTTCTCCTGTGGAGCAGCTGATGAGTTCTAATTGCCAACCTTTCAGTTAGCAGCTGAGAGCTTAACCCCTGTGCCACCAGGGTGTTGTGAGAACATCCATGGAGAAGTAACAGAATTACAGAGTCATCACTCACGAGCTTTGATGTTCACATAGTGTCAGGACTGTGGGGACCTGTGCGGGCTGGGTCACCACCTTCAGCTCCCACTCCAGGCCTGAACCCTTATGAATGGTGAGCCAGCAGCTCTCCTCCCAGTGGCCTGAGGTCTACCATGTGACCTGAGCAGACAGCCTATCTCACAGGGGTCAGGAGAGGTGGTTGTACCAGAAGTCACAAGATCAGTGAGCAGCCTAAATTTACAGAACACCCAAAGATCTCCTCAATGGAAGAGTGGGTCTTTCCACCTCTTCTGTCTTAACCCTTTATGATGGCATGAGCTTCTCTTTATTTTCAAATAGCAACAGCTAATATATTCATAACACGTGTGGTACACGCACATGTGACGAAGCAGGACAGTTCCCTGTGCTGCAGGGACAGCTTGCGCAGGCCTCTCCCTGCCATCACATGACCTGTTTGACCTGGTGTGAAGGGACCACGTGATTCATGAAGGCCACACGGTGTGGCTGGTGACCTCAGGCAGGTGTAGGAGGCTAGGCTCGTGCTCTGAGCCTGTGAGGACTTGGATGGCTGCAAGGACGGCTCTACCTCTGCAGTGCTGAGCACCTGAACCTTGGCTGCAACGAGGAGCCGTCAGTGCAGTGCCCTGGTTCAGAGGTTGTGGGGACACATCGGCGGGCACACCTACTCCTGGCTGCACAGAGGAGGCGCTGAGCACATGTGAATGGCTCACACAAAGCCCATTTTCCACCCTCCCTTACCGGGGGCAGGGTGGCTACGGCCTCCTTGACCTCGGAGAGAACCACGTGGCGGTGGATGTTCCTGGGTGCACGCTGGTAGAGCACCCTCCGCCTGTAGCCAAGGGAAGAGCGAGGGTCAGCAAAGGAAGTGGCAGCCACCTTGCAGGACACCAGTGATGCCCTGCTCTGGAAGGAGCCCCAGCAGAAGGAGAACCACGCTTTCCCCAGTCTCAAGGGATGCTGGCACAGCCCCCCAGCCCTGAGTTTGGAGCAGAGACTCTGGTAGAAAATCCCAGCTTTGTGACGTGTGACTGAGTTTCCTCACCCACAAAATGGGATGGATCATAACCCCAGGCTGGTTGTGAGGGTGCCGTGATGGCTGAGAGCCCTGCCAGACGAATGCCACGCTGTGGCGCAGCTGCACACACAGGGCGCCTGCTCCATGCTAGACACTGTTCTAGAAAGGATGCAGCCCGCCTGTGACGACAGCCGTGATAACGACAAGTGGTGGCTGAAGGGGAAAGGAAGGGGGAGCAAGGACCCTGTGTCGTCCCCCCAGCACCACCTACTCAGCATTGCACAGAAGCTCCTGGAAGCTCAGAGTGGGCAATACCCCCCACCCTCAAGCAGACTTAGCATTTACACTGCGCCACTGTGCCTGGCCCCTGCTTGGAGCCATGGTGTAGTGGATGAGAGGGGGTCATCCTGGGCTCAGCACGGGCAGAGACGGGCGGGGGCCAAATGTATCCCTGACTGGGTGCCTCGTAATTCCCACACGCACCTCTGCCTGCCACCGGGGAGGATGCTGCCAGAGGCTCGCGTGAGTGGCGACATCATCACGCCCATGGTGCACACACACAAGCCCACGACAGGGGCATCTGCGGACACACTCACCCCTCAGTCCCTCCACAGCCCCCGGCAGGCTCGTTCCCCTCACGTCCTGGTCTCCTAGTCCCAAGCACCCGCTCGCCTGCACCCACCTGCTCTCGCAGGCGGCCACGGCGGGGTCCCCGGAGTCCACTGCCTGCACCACCTTGTGGACATTCTCCTCCAGCCAGCTCATGATGGCGGGTTCTTTCCAGAGAAAGTGCGATCTCCCGAGATACAGGGTCACCAGCTGGCTCAGCGCAGGCGACTGACTGCGGAGAGCGGGTCCGTGAGCAGGTTGGTCGCACCCGGGGTCTGCACCACAGTGGCCGCCCTGGACAGCCCCGCCCCGAAACGGACCACAGGCCCCGCCCCGGAACTGGCACAGACCCCGCCCCCGGAAGCAACCCCCGCCCGCCACTTGCCGCACTGCAGGAGGCCGGGGCCAAAGGGGAGCCAGGCGGGTGTCAATGGGGAGCCGGGAGGGGGCGAGGGTTTGGGGGATGATTGAGTGGCTGGCGGGTGGCAACAGGCTGCGAGGTGGGCAGGGGGCTACGGGCAAGCAGCAAGGAGGGCGACAGGCTGCAAGGTGGGCGGGGGCGAGGGTGTGCCGGGGTGGGTGGTTGGCAGGTTGGGAAGTGGACGAGATGGCTACAGGGGTGGCGGGGGGAGGGAGGTGATCAGATGCGGGGCGACAGTGGGTGGGGTGGCAAGGAAGCCAGCACGGCAACGTTAGCCCAGGGACGCGCACACGGGAGCGGAGCGTTTGCTGCGGAGCCCTGTACGTGTGCTGCTTGGGTGGAGCCACCTGACATGTGAACGGCAGGGAGCATGCGTGTTCGCGGATGCAGAGCTCAGGCCGCTCCCACATCAGGTTTTTACATGATGTGTAAATTTTATGGGACTTTGTATTTCAAAAGTATACAGTAAAGGTATGAAAATGTTCAGGAAATAAATGGCATTTTTTAAGGTTTATTTCTTTTATGATAAAAGAACCTTCTTCCTGGTTATCAGGCAGAGGGAAGATAAATGTTGCTATTTTCTTCCAAGTAGTTTCTTCTTTTTTATGAGATATTTTTAAAAGGTAATACATCCCAGTAGAGAAATGTGGGAAACAGAGCTTTAAATACAATAAACCCTCTCCAAGGCCCTGCCCAGTGCTGGGCCTCCCCCACACAGCCAGGAGGCACCCTAGGCCTTGATTCTTGCCCGCCCGAAGGCTCTTTTATTAGCAGAGGTAGTGGTGGAAGGCCATGATGGTGTCCTGTGAGTCCCACAGTTTACGTGACTCCAAATCCCTTCTTAGTCGGAGGACAACCCTGGCTCCTCACAAGGTCATGACCTTCAGCCTCTGAGGTGGCCATCCCTGGGGAGTGGTGCAGTGCCTGGTGCTCACACCTGACACCCCAACAGTATGTCACAGGGCAGGGCCACCACTTCCAGACGAGTCCTGAAGTGCCACGGTGCCCCAAGAGTAAGAGTCCCCAGGAAAAGTGGACGCACACCCAGGCCTGCCCCTGGGGCTGCCTTCTGTCCTCTACCTGATCTGGGCGTTGGGTCCAAAGAAGTGGTGGTTGGCAACGGTGGCATCGGGCCGCACGCTGCAATACTCCAGCAACGGCATGAGGACTGCAGAGGAAGCAGAGTGGCAGCGTGATGTAACGGCTCCCCATCTCCCAGCCACACAGGGAACCCTTCCATCAACGAACCCCAGGCAGACGGAAAGCAGCCCAAGATCAAGAGAGGACTCTGGTGAGTTGAGTGGAGGAGGCCGGGCTCTGAGGGCCTCATTTCTGACTGCTGTCCCCACTGCTGTTGTCCAAGGTCTGAAGCAGGGTCTCCTGGTCCCAAGGGCCCCTGCCTTTGTGTACATGGACATTGGTCCTTCTGCCTCCCATTTCCTGGCCTGCAGTGGGGGCTCCCTGGCCATGAACCCAGCAATGTGCTATGGACATGTGGCCAGGAAAGTGTGGGCAGGTTCTGCCTGGTGCCCAAGGGCCCTCCAGGGCAGAGCTGTCCAGTGGCTGTGGCTTCCTGACAGCTGTACCCCCACGTGACTTCCCAGGAATGCTTAAGAGACCTTACACAGCAGGGTGAGCTGCAGGGGCATTTCCTGAGAACAACTGAGACCCCTCTGTGTCAGACAGCACAGCTCTGCTATGCAGCCCCAAATCATCTACGGGGGCAGAGGCCAGGACAGCACACCTGACTGGGGAGGAGGTGACTGCTCAGAGAGGAGGCTTTGCTCTTCACTGGAGCCGAACGCTGCCCTCTTTTGTGCGTGTTCCCGCCAGACTGGGCCAGCGCCCCCCAACCTCACACATGTGCCTCCTCTGGGCCCGGACAGGCCCCAGGACATCCCAGCAGGGTCCATGCACACACCGCAGGTGGGTCAAGGCTGACCCCGCTCGCTGTCCCTGTGATGGCGGCACCAGGACCCAGGTAGGGAAGTGGTAGGCTCTCTACAACACACTGGTTCTCACCTTGCTTGGGCCACAGGCCCTTTAGGAATTGACAGAACACCGCTGACAATCAACCCAGACCAATGACACCCAGGCGTGGCCAACACATCGCCAAATGTTCTGCAGCACTCACTCGTGAGGCCCCAGAGCAGCAATCCTGTCCCTGAGCACTCAGACTCAACAGGAACGCCTGTCCTGTGAGGACAGGGGCCCGCCCATGCGCCTGGCCCCACCTGCCTACTGCCCCCCACCCCTGTGGTTCTCTTCCCACACACCTTCTATGCTGCCCACTAAGCTCATTCCTGTCTTCCTCTTCAGATAACACATTTTTTTTTAAGTAAGTTGTCGATATTGAAGACATATCCTAAAACCCCAAAGCAATTCTTGGGCAAAGTCAGTGCTAACATCCAGGCTCAAGTGGGGAGCTCTGCTGTCCGCCTCTGCCCACAAGGGGCTGTGGTGTCTGTCTGCAGTGGGGAAGCAGGGGTGCAGGTGCCTCTGTGCGTGTGCAGCCGCTCCACCCCCACCCCCTGGGAATGCGCAGCACCCACCTCCAGGGAACATGGTGAGTGCCTGCCGGATCAGGACCGAAGCTTTCTCCCTAGCGGCACTGCGCTCATGCTGTGGGTGGTCAGCTTGCTGACTCAACAGGAGGTATGCCAATGGCACGGAGAAGGCAAAATTTGGGAGCTGGGACAGGTTCCGATGAGCCTACACGAAGGAGAAATGAAGTCTGGCTAAAGACCAGATGCACGTGGGATTCGAAGATGCACCGATGTGGCCAAGGGAGGGCTTGCTCTCCCAGGAGCCTCTCAGTCCTGGAAGCCGTTCCATACCAGGGTCTCGGAACATATGCTCATCTCACACACGTGTTTTTTCCTACTAAAAACAGAATTGTCTTCTACGTGGGGTCTTATAACCTCAGAAACTGTTATGAATGTCCCCTTGCAGCTCCCTCTATGAGCCTGTGAATCCCTGTAAACTAGACCACAGAGGGGAGAGTCCTTGCCCAACTATGCTGAATGACACAATTCAAAATGTTCTACACGTTTACTTCTCAGTTATACAGGTGAGACATAAATGTGTGAAGTGAACTTTCAAGTACAAGACGAGAGAGCTGAAGGGTCATCTCCCTAGCCCACCCTGCTGGAGGGTCACAAGAGTCCACTGCCTTTCCAGGGTGGTGCTGCCCAACAGAGACACAACATGGCCATGTTAAAATAAGGTGAAATTAATGTTAATACATTTCACTTAACCCAATATATCTAAAACATTATCATCTCAACATGTAATCAGTATAAAAAGTTACTGAGGTATTTCACAGTAAGTCTTCAGTCTGATGTGCACTGTGCACGTGAAGCGCCTGTCAGTGCAGCCTGTGTGGACAGACAACTCACACGGCTCGAGGCCACCCTCTGCACGTGCACGCTCAAACCAGGCACTGCATGAAGTATGCACATACAAACTGGACACCACGTGAGCGTGCACCTGTCCGTGTTTCTGTCTGGAATCTCTGACATGCGGTGTAGCAGACACAGCAGTCACCCACACTCAGTACTCAGACCCTGCAGCGGTGGGCTCCGTGTACCCACCTCGACGAGCAGGGCCTTCTCGGTTCCCCGTCACGACAGCTCTGCTGTCTGCACGCACACGTGCTTTAGGGGTTCGGCGCTGGCAGGCTGATCCTGCATACAGGGGTTCCAGGGCTCCGGAAGCCGAGAGCTCCCCAAGCTGCCTGGCTGCTCCTGGCCATGGTGTGCTCACTGACCGTTCAGAGAGACGGGGAGGGCAGCTACGTCTCAAATTGTCTCAATTATCATTGAGACAAAAAGGGCAGAGAGCCCTGGGGTTGGCCTCGCCCCTTTTCACAGCACATCCCCTCGTGTGTGCGATGCACTGAGCCAAGGGAAGGCAAGCACAGACCTGCCTCAGGGAGTCGGGGGGTGCAGTGGCCACACCTACCTCCCAATCCTGGAAGAGGAAGATCAGGTAGTCGTAGCTGCGGGCCCGCAGCGCCAGGTGGTCCACCAGCAGCAGCATGCACAGGGGGTCCTCGTCCGGCTCCAGGCTTTGGGGCAGAGGAAGGTGTCACGGCGCGGGTGTGCGGGGCGGGGCACGCGCGGGGCGGACACTCACCTCAGGATGAGCTTGCAGTACTCCAGGGCTGTGCGTGGGCAGCCCCTCTTCTCTAGGAAGACCATCTGCTTGTACAGCGCCAGGTAAAAGCTCCTAGACCCAAAACAGTTACAGCTCCATCAGAGAGCTGCCATTGTGCATAGACGGGGCACACAGCTGCCTACAGCCTCAGCTCTGTGGTTTTGTGGCATTTCCCATGTGGTCTCATCATGGCATGGGCTGGTGTTACTCACATGTTTGTTTACAGTGATGTCTGTATCTACATACTGACAATCATTACTGCTATTTGTTATTTGAAAACTCTTATTTTCTTGTTTTTTACGATTTATCATTTAAAAGAAGAGTTAAAAGCTCCTACTATAATTATGGTTCCAATCTATTTTTAGACATCAGTAGCTGTCAGCAGCACAACTGGTCATAGGTCTGTGACCTCATCATCCTGGGGGACTGTTATTTCAACAGCCCACTGTCCCTTTAACGCCTGGACATGCTAACATGAATATTTTAATAACTTGTCTCAAAGAACTAAAAATTTAGTTGGGGAGCACTAGTCAGCTGAGACAAAACACAAATGAATCCGGCAGAGAAAATTCAAATCCAGTGCGTGGTGCTGATGACAGGCGCCAATGAGGCAGGAGGTGCGCTGGCAGGGGGAGCTGTGCAGGTGCAGGAGACAACCAAGGACGGGGCTCAGACCGAGGACATGGGAGTGGAACGCAAGTGTGAGAGACACAGGGACCGAAGACAACTGGCACCACCAATGGCTGAGGATGGCTGAGGTAAAGCTGATGGAGCAGCAATGGATGTCTGAGGTTCAGTGCTACAGGGTGGCTTGGGGGGCAGGATGAGTATTTCTGAGAGTGTCACGCCCAATCCTGATGTAGCAGACGTGGAAAGGCAGCGTGAGCACTCACTGGGATGCCGCCTCAGGCATCCACAGCACTCACTGCCTCATGCATGTTTCTCATACCCCAACATGTGGAAACACAGGTGATAGCTGCATCATGGGATGTAGCTTGCTAGGCCTCCCACCTAACACAACACACTTAATTCCAGGCCAACCCAAACACCCTCCCTTGAGCCTGCTCTCCTGCCCAGGTGCTCTCGCTGGACAGTGCTGTCTCTGCCACATGTCGTAGGGACTGTAACTTGGGTGCGAGTCCCCGTGCATCCTGGCCGGGTGCTCACCTATTCTCGGGTCTGCGGTAATCCAGCCGGCAGGTCCCACTGGTGAGGCTGAACAGGGGGTGGAATGCGCACTCCATGCTGTACAGTGCCCTCTCTGTGGACACAGAAACACTGGTCACTGCAGTGTCCCTAAGCCACGTGTCCTCATCCAGCTCTGACAACACAGACAAGGGCAAGTCTGGAGAGAGGCAGCTGTGAAGCTCGGTCACACTGACCCTGCAGCCCTGCCATGGCCACAGAGGGCACGGCCTTGACTCCTAGGCAGCATCACTGCCAGTCTACATGTACATCAACCGAGAATTGATGAACATGAGACCAAAAAACCCTAAAACTATGAGGTGTGGCTGAGGCAGTATCAGAACACCAAGTGTCCACCCAGGAGAAGCCACACGACCACAGACGCATACACAAGTGCTCACTGCTGCACTGTTCACAACCTAGTGTCCACCCAGAGATAATGGGCAGCCACAATGTAGTCTACCCACACAATGGAGTATTACTCAGTCATAAAGAGAAATGAAGTCCTGATGCGTGCTACAACATGCTTGAACCTTGAAAACATTACACTCAGTGACAGAAGCAAGACACAAAAGGACAAATACTGCAAGATCTTACTTATGTGAAACACCTAGAATATGTAAATGTATAAGACGGAAAGCAGATTAATGGTTGCCAGGGGCTGGGGTGGGGGGTGACTGCTAATGGGTGCGTGATTTGATTGTGGTCATGGTTGTATAATGCTGGGAATACACTGGGAACACTGAATTGTACACGGTAATCATTATATATCAATGGAGCTGTTATTTAAAAAACATCCTGGCAAGCCCATTTATATACTCATCACCGTATAAAAAAATAAAAATAGCATCCATGCCCTTAGCTCCTGAGACAACCCTGCAAATGAGAGGCCAGCCAGAACAGCCCAGCCCCAGGTATGCTTACCTATGAGGTCTCGGGCCATCTCCTGGTCCTCCTGGAGCCGGCAGGCATCACTGAGCTGCAGGAGTGAGTCGACGTGGTAGGGGCTCGTCTGGAGCAGGACCTGCCAGAAAGGAGGGAGCTGGTGGAGCCCCAGGACACGACGCCCAGGGAGGCCCGCACAGTCCTGCCTTCAGGCATTTAGACCCAGAGGCAGCACCAGAGCGCTCTATGCCAGCTATCGATACTGACTGGGTCATTTATCGGATGTCAAATAGGAACTCAGATTTCAGTGTTCCCAAACAGCTGCAGATGGCCTAATGCCATCCAGCCCCTCCCAACCCCAAGGGAGAGGAGCCAAAACGGCACCATTTCCTACACAGGAAGACAGTGCACGCTGGTGACAACTCCATCCCAATGACCCATGACGTGAGGGGCCCAGGCCCCTGTGGGTGATAGGCCAGGTGGGCCTGCGAGGCAAGGGTTGGGATCGAGGGCACATCCACAGCCCTGGAGGTTTTTACAAACAGGACGCAGGCGGATGGCTCAGTGCACGGTGCAGACAGCCCCAGGACGAGGAGCCCCATCCCGAAGGCCCTGATGCTCTGGACGCATTACAAGGCGCTCCTGCACACAGCACCCCAGAACAGAGGTGGGGCGCAGTGTCCTAGGTTCCCCCGACGCACACCTCACAGAGCCAAAGGCCAAGCCACGGGCAGGCCTGCAGTGGGCCGGCATGACAAAGTAGAAGCGCCGCACAGTCTATGTACCACAATGTTGTTGGGCTCCATGGACTCCACAGCTGCCAGGAATTTGTGCTGCACCTGCTGGTACTCTTCACTGTGCTCAAACATAAAGGAAGAGAGCCCTTTCTTCGTCTCCAGCAGCCGCATCGAGAGACCTGGGGGCGAGTGCGGGGTCAGGTGAGCCGGGAGCACATCTCCCACAGGATGCAACCACCCGACACAGCTCATATGTAAGCCTCCTGGATCTGGACTGCAGAACCTTCTGGAGCACAAAGTGGTAGTCCACACCGAGGGCACCGGGAGCAGCATCCTGTCTGCTCTTGTTTCTGTGAAGACATCTTCTCCCAGAGGCTGGTCCAGCTCAGAGCATGGACAGGGCACGCATGCCTCAAGAGCCAGCCAGCCTGCCTGAAGGGCCTGGACACACACAGCCCCCTGTGGCTATCCAGTCAGGTTGACACTCAGGTCGAGGGTACTGGAGGGGAGAAGCCCCCCGGTTGAAGCCAGGCCTGAGGCGCCTCCTCTCTCCCCCAACAGCCCACTCAGGGATTCGGGGTCCAGTCTTCTAAACTCCCAGCCCTTTCATGATCAGGCTGGTGGCCCCAGATGCCCTTTGGCTCACACCCTCCCGACTGTCCTATGAGAGGGTGGTGAGCTCCATCTCATGGGCACATCCTCGCTGATGACACCCGGCACCTTTCCCAGACATGGGTTGGGGAGTGGGCAGAGATAGGGGAGTGCAGGCGTTGGGGATGGGGCGTGGCAGCACTGACAGTAGTGGGTCCCACACCATCACCACCAGCATGCCCCCTGGTCCCTCCCACATGGTGTCCCTGCCCTGTCCTCCTGTCCCCCCACAGCCTGTGTCCATCCCTTCCCAAGGCCCTCAGGCCCCCACAATCAGGCATTAGATTGGAGGCCAGTGTTCCAGATGGTTCTCCATGCCACGCACACCACTGTCCAACTCACAAGGTGTTCTCTGCACCCGCCCATGCCTGTCTGCACCTCTGCTGTTTCTTAACATTCATTATTTTGTGACAAAATATAAAGCATGACACTTTCAAAATGAACTTGATTGTTTCCTACAAAACAAACCCAAAGGTAGAAAAAACTGGCATTACAACAAACACACAAGGACCATGCCTGGAGGAGCTCTGTCCCCAGAACATCAGGCGTCCCTGCCTCAAACCAGCAAGAATCACAAAACCATGCCCAGAATCCCAGCCAGCGCTGGTGTTACATGACCTGGGCCCGCAGCCCTCACCTGGTTTGGAGTACCGGGGCCAAGTGCTCTTGGGGGTCGTCAGCCACATGGACTTAGGGTACACGCGCTGTCTCTGCCGAGACCTGAGGAAGACATGTGCCAGCGTCACCTTCCGAGGTGGCTGCAGCAGCCAGGGAGGCACGACCAAGGGGCAGGGATGGTGGGAGACCCTGCGCAGGCCCATACCGCACAAATGCGGAGCACGGGCACGGTACTGGAGACAGAGGGTAGCCACTGCCAGGCGGAGCTGGAAGAGAGTTCTAAAGAGCCAAATCACCAGAAAGAGAGAAAAGGAAAAAGAAATTCAACCAGTCCAACAAGAAGACAGGACAGACAGAAAGGAAAGAAAAATGAAAACCTACGTAAGAGATGACTACGTGAGCTGAGCCTGCCAAGCGCCCGTGAGCACATGGCCATGGTGCGAGGCGTGTCCAGACAGAGGGGTGGGCTTGGCCAGGCAGAGGCCACTGCAGGCACATCTCCTCTCTTGAGACCCACGAACTCAATGACAATAGGCTATGACAAGGGGTAAACCTGACAAGGACGAGGACTGGAAATCTCAGCACACCAGGTCACCAGCACGTTTCTGGGCCGCGGGGGACAGTCAGGCACTCGTGGGCAATGGTACAGGTGGGAGGGCCTCACCAAGGAGGGATTTGTGTGGTTGGTGATGCCGCGCCTGTGGAGCTGAGCGGTGGGCTCATTTCTGACAATCTGAACTATTTCATTAAAAAAAAAAAAAAAGAATGAATAGGAAGCTGGACTACATTAGGACCAGGACACAAAGGCACCGTTCTCTTTTCTCAACAAGAAACCAGGAAGGCAGGAGGAAAACACACAACCGTACCCGGAAAGCATGGTCAGAATCTGAAGGGCACTAAAAAGAGCCGTGATTTTGGGTAACTGTGTAAAGGAGAAGGAGCAGACACTCAGAGCCATCCACGCCTCTGCCTGGCTATACTACGCTGCACGTATGGAACACAGAGGGCACACAGACAGAACATGGATGCCGCCCTGCGACGTGGCGGGGGCGGGGTGGGGGCAGAGGAGGGGCAGGTATCTCAACCCAGGGAGAGTCAGGCACAGCAATGGAAACATTGATTGAGGCCTCTGAAGGGGAGACAGATGGCTGCATCAGCTAAATTCCATCTGTACAGCAGAAAGTCAACAGGGGAAAGTCCAAACATGAGAACACCAGACAGAGTAGTACACCTTTCTTTAGAGAGTTTGAGATAACCAGAGAAGATGAGACATAGAAACCCCACAAGCTATGGCCTCAGGAACAGAATAAGGAAGCAGGGAGAGGGGATGCAGGGAATGATGGCTTTTCAATGGAATCCCTTTGGGAGGACTTAAATCTTTAAAGAAATATAGTAAGTGTAACAATAATATCAAAACAACATAATTAGTAACTATAATTTGCACAGAAATAAGACTAAGAAAAAAATACAAAGAGATGGGCAAAGAGAGACCCAACAGATGGGACAGAGAGAAACTAGCGTGGTACGAGGAAGAGTCTTCATTTACCCAAGGCGACAAGGGGCAGAGAGGAATTTGTTAAAATAAAAATTTTTTTCACTAGTATTGCAAAAAAAAGACACAAAAGTTAGAGATCCTTGCGTGATGAATTAACACCCAAAATGTAAAGCAAAAACTGTTACAAATACAAAGAAAGTATGAAAAATTAACATGAAAAAATGATCAACCTTACCAATCATCAAAGAATCAAAAGTCACGATAGCGAGACAATTCCTATCTACGTATTATGACTGGGTTTAGACCTATCGCATCACCACTGCAGAGAAGACTAAGCGACACCTGTCCTGCGAGTGGGACAAGTTGGCATTGTTTTGGAGGGCAGTGGAGGAGCACGTAGCAAATACAAGACTAGAGCACCAACTTGTAGGAGATTTCACCAGAAGGAGCTGCGCAGATGCAGGGGCTCTGCAACACTGTTTGTAAACCGTGGAAAAACCTGGAAACAACCTCACACCCATCAACTGGGCATGGGAGTCTTTGTCCCTCACAGAAACAGTGCTTCAAACTCCGACGTGCAAAGTCAGGGCTACAGGCTCTCGGGGCTGGCTCACATCACATAAGACAACTGTGCTGTGCGCACAGACAGGCTCCTGGGAGATGCCCAACAGTTCAGTGGTTATCTCTGGGGAGGGGCAGGGGGTCAAGTCAAGGAGGTTATTCCTGAATTGCTTTAATTTTTTTTATAAGGAACATGTAGTATTATAATCAGAAAAAAAAGTACTTCAAAAGTCAAAGCTTTTGCAGGTGTGAACGCTCCCCAAGTCAGAGCTAGGACTCCCCCTCAACAGTAAGGCCAGGGAAGGGGCCCTCAGGCTCGTCATCACCCTGCAGCTCACCCCCTTACCCCCGAGATACTGCTTGCCTTCTTCATCACAGTCAGTGCTCACCCCATGCTGCCCGACTAACAAAGATAAGACTTATCTCAGAACCCGAACTTCCTGTTAGTTTTGCTGTTTGAGAAGAAAAATGAACCTGGTTAAGATCTCAGGGCTAGAAACTCAAAGTTAAAAGATTTTTAGAATCTTTCTAAGAACATAACATGTCCATCAGAGAAGGCTGTGTAAGGGCTCGAGGAACAAGGCCACACCCAACCACCTCTCATCTGACTTTCAAAGCCCAATTCCAGGGCTTCACCTTCTCACCATGGCTTCAAATATTCTCCCCAAAAAGTGCCTCTACAGCTGAATACTGACATATAGGAACAGTCGGGTCCATGACACTCCCTGCTTTATCTTTAATCGCTAAAAAGGTGAGAAAGTTTTGGAAATACAGCTCCACACCGAGCTTACCTTTGCTCCCCCAGGATCGCCCGAGCACCAAAGTACCTCTTCAGTTCTGTGTCTGGATTCAAGTGCCTAGAGGATTGAACATTTTAGAAAGATAGATGACATCAAATTCTCCTACAACGATTGTGGGAATTTTAAAAAGTCACATAAAAGCCAGCAGTGAGACAACCTCCAGGTCCACTTTCTTAAGCCCCATGCACTTGGCGGCCCCACTGCCCCTGCAGGGTGCAAAGGGAGCCCACTGCCATCACCATGGGAGCCTGCGCTCAGTGCTACCCTGCTTCTCTGCACCATGTAGAGACATGGACAGACCTCTACCCACAGACGGCAAATATCTGTTTTTGAGGCTGCATCAGGCAGCATAAACACTTGCAGACCAGATCGCTACGTCTTAATTGACTCCAGGTGGCCTTTGAAAACAAACAAACAAAAACACTGCCAGCAAACTTCTGTAGTAGGGACACTAGTATACCAGCTGTTGTGGAGTCAACTCCAACTCATGGCAACCCCATGTGTGTCAGAGTAGAACTGTGCTCCACAGGGTTTTCAATGTTGATTTTTTGGAAGCAGATTGCCAGGACTTTCTTCTGAGGAGTATCTGGGTGGACTTGAACCTCCAACCTTTCAGTTAGCAGTTAAGTTATCTGTATTACCCAGGGACTCTGTAGTGGGGACAAGGTTTCATTAAGCTTCTACAAGACTGAGAGATGACAATTTATCCAAGGATGACATCTTACTTTATCATAGCTCAAAAGAGGACTTCTAAGATATAAAATAAAGCTGAAGCTCCCTGAATCATGGGTGATTTTCTTTCTTTTTTGTCTCTTTGTTCCTATTTCCTAAATGTTTAATAATAAGCTCATAATTACTTCTAAATATACAGTAGTAAATTTCCCTCCTTTCTTTTTAAAATAAGTAACATTTTCCTGGCCAGAGAGGAGCTGTGGGAAGGCCGAAGAGGAAGCGTCTGGCCGCGGGGAGGCTGCAGAGAGGCCTCAGAGGAGGGGTCTGGCTGTGGGGAGGCCTCAGAGGGGGCATATGGCCTTGGGGAGGCCACAGAGGAGGGGTCCGGCCTTACCTGTGCTCCACGTGGAGCACGTGCTTCCTGGAGCTCAGGGGTGGTGGGCCAGGCCGGGCCAACCCACCTCTGTCCTCAATTCTCTCTAAGATGCGGTCAATATCTTCCAGCCCGTTTTCCTAAAAGCCCCAAAACAACCTATTAATCACTACACTGACGTTATTTTGAATATTATAACAATTAATAATAAAATCATTTATTTTTAAAAAGAGCAAACATTATATCTATTACTTAAAAGACCATAATAATTTAGAAACTATACTACATACACATTTAGAACAAAAAAGAACTTTTTAAGAAGGAGAAGCTCAGAAAAGACAGAATCACAGAGCCAGAGGATCCCAGAGATAGCTGAACCCCATTTTCTAGGACAGTACAGTCCTCAGGTAATTGGAGCTGGGGTGTGTGACTCAGATGAAACATTAATAAAACTACACCCACTGCAGGACAAGCAGGGCCAGAGCTGAGACAGAGGGGAATGATGAGAATACACTTTCTGACGGCAGAAACTTCCTGACATGGTTCTCACCCTTACCATCACCATCCAGCTAGCCCTTGGCCCTAGAACAAGGTCAGGGCCATGAGTAGAAGCACAACTAGGAATATCTCCCCCATCAGAAGAACACAATTCCGTGGGAGCTGGAAAATGAAAAACGAAAGAGTAGGGCTCTAGTCCTCCAAGGAACTAAGTGAATAAAACAAGCAAAACTTGCGACTTTTTCCTTTTCTTTTTCCTTGACCTCTGAATTAGCTATACTCCCAATGGAAAGGAATAAAAGTAACAAATAGGAACGAACAGCTCTCAACACACAGCAGAAAAGAATGGAGACAGATCAGCCAGGCTGACACACATACCAAAGTCTCTCCTGTCGTGCTTTTCTTATTCTTCTGTTTCTTTTTCTTCTTTCGGAGTTTGCCGCTTGAATTAGACTAATAAAAGAAACACACTTCAATCAATGGGAAGTGACAGTGAGATACTACAAAGTACCAACAGCAGCATCCACGGGGGAGTGGAAACCTGATGTCCCCCGTCCCCCTAATTGTCACCAAAATTACCTGCTTCTCTCAGCTCTAGCTTGGCTTACAAGAAGCACCTTCCAACGTCTCTGCGCCACCAGCCTGGTCCCCACCTTTCCCAGTCTGCAGTCAGTGTGGTCTTTCTCCCACACCCCTTCTCAACGCTCATGCCTCCACAATATGTGCATGGGGCCCTGCACCACCTGCCCACTCCCCTCTCTGTGCTCCAATCCCCATGGGGATGGGGGGCCCTGGTGTGCCCTGTGCTCCTCACACCAGTCCCTGATTCTGCGGGCCCCCGTGCCCCAGCCTCTGTGGGCCGCCGTGCCCCTGCCTCTGCAGGCCCCCAGCCCCTGCCTCTGCCATCCCCCACGACCCTGCCTCTGCCATACCCCACGCCCCTGCCATCCCCCATGCCCCTGCCTCTGCGGTCCCCCATGCCCCTGCCTCTGCAGTTCCCTAGCCCCTGCCAGACGCACTGTACCTGCCATTCTCCCTGTCCCTGTGGGTACCCTCTGTGGGCCCCCCTCCGCCTCTGAGAATCCCCTTGCCCTGTGAGCCCCTCCTCCTATGGGTCATCCCCTCCCCCCATAGGCCCTTCTGAGTGTCCCCTTTCCCCCTGTAGGGCCCCCTCCCCTGTATGTTCTCCTCCCCTGCAGGCCCCCTGCCTCCAGTGCTCTTAGGCTGGCCCACTCCTTCAAGCGCAGAGTGAAGGCTCTTCCTCAGGAGCCCCCATGACCCTGAGCCTCAGTCAGGAACCTCTCTGCGCACCCTGAGGTGGACTCCCTGACACTGCACTGGTCAGAGCTGTGGGCTCCGTGTCTACCATACCCACTTGGCCAGAGGCTCCTGGAGGGCAGAGCCTGGCCAAGCACTAGCAGGCCCCCAGTAGCACATGCTCCTTCTACAGCTCTGTGGGAAGACCCCTTTTTCATGGTCTTCTGTGATGTGGCTGCAAAGCCATCTGCACCTCCAAATGCCCACCCTTCCGCCCCCCAGGACAGGACATTTCATGAGGGTCTTCTTACTTCTTCCCTTAAGCTGGCAGGCAGCCATGACTCAAATGTTACAGAGCCGAATGCTGGACCCCACGCTCATCCAAGTGACTCTCCTCCTCAAAGCTCGGGTGTCACACCAGTGCCAGAGCCATAGTCCCCCGACCTACGCCCAGACTCACGGAAAAAAGACAACACGCTACACAGTTGCTCAAGTGCGTGTAATGACGCACGTGTGTACCGGTTCACATGCCTAAGGACCACGCACGTGGCACCCACCCATCAGGGTTCCCAAAGAAATTTTTGGGTAGCTGGGCAATGACACACTCAAACTGAGGAAATTATCCCTCCAGGACAACGAGCACAGAGACACAGCAGGTGGCTGGGTATACCTGAGGTCCCCAAGTTAACCAGAGAGCCCCATACCTGCTCAGAGGCTGCTGCCTTCTCAACCCCTTCTCCATCCTTCTTGGTCTCTGTGTTTCCATGTTTAGCTCTCCCTTTGTTCCCTGAAACCACGGTGTCTGTGGGCATGCAGTCTGACTTGTCCCCATTCACCACGGGCTCCTCCTCGAGTTCTTCAGTGTTTATCTGTGAGAGGAGAAGTGAGGGATACAGTGGCATTACCTGCATGCTACAGTCATGCTTAAACAGTGGTACTGAGATACAGGTGACAGAACGCAAGCAGGAAGTCACACACACTTAAGGCTAGTTACAGGTAGTGCATAGGAGGAACAGAAAGAACAGCAGATGTCTGTGTCGACACAGCAGCGACACACACAGGCAAACCTGCGCCCTGCGTGACAACTCTGTCGTGCTCTTTTGAACAAGTCCTGGCTCAGGGCTACTTCTGCAAATGAGTCTAGAATACGGGGACAGTGGGCCATCTGGCTATCTGTCTTCCCTGAGCATTACCAATTTATCCCTCTTCACTAAGCATCACATAGCCCTAGGATTTTAAAAACACAAATGTTCAGTCAATGCATTCCCGTTCTTTCCTCCTCCTGTCCACTCAAGCCTCTGCTTACCAGTGGGAGCAGACAGGACAAAAACCTGGGAAAGAGCACACCTAAGCCCCAACCGACCTCAGGGGCAAGGACTGTCTTGTTGACTTTTTTCCTGATAATAAAAGCAATATATGAAAATAATCACAATTCACACAGTGGAGCCTCCTACAGGGTGAGATGAATGAACCCAGCGGCACGCACAACATGGATGAATCTTAGGAGCACAACTGTCAATGAAAAAAGTTAAGTCCCTAGAAAAAAAATCTTACTCTGTGAGCCCCTTTTGGAAACTTAAGGCATTCTGAGAAATGCAAATTCTTAAGAAGCTCTAAGCTATGCTAAACTTCAACGGAGAAAAGTTCTGACTCCATACACAGGGAACTCGCTGATACTTGATGACCCACCCAGTGTTGTTTCTTTATGACAAGAGGAGCTTGGCTGACGGTGCCCTTCCATATTGGCATGCACCAGCACAAAATGCCTCTCAGTTATCCTTAAATAAATTTTTGCTATCCAAAAGCTGTTACCTCCATCAGTTTCAAGGTCTCAAATGAGGGGCATTCCTAGAGGTTTGACAGACTAAGCTCTTGTCCACCACACGTGTTCACTGGCACCCCACAGACAAGGCTCAGACACTTAACCAAATACTGGGCTGAAGTTTTATAAAATTTGGGGGAGAGACCTGACTTTTTTAAAAAAACTGGGGTATAACTTACATACCGTGCAATGAATGTACAGTTCAATGAGTTCTGGCAACTGCATACAAGTGTGCAACCCACATGCTTATCAAGATATAGAACATTTCCATCACCCCAGAAATACATACCTTGTGCCATTCTCAATGTCTTAGTCATCTAGTGCTGCTATAACAAAAATAGCATAAGTGGATGGCTTTAACAAAGAGAAATTTATTTTCTCACAGTCTAGTAGGCTAGAAGTCCAAACTCAGGGCGTCAGCTCCAAGGGATGGCTTTCTTTCCCTGTCAGCTCTGGAGGAAGGTCTTTCTCATCAATCTTCCCCTGGACTAGGAGCTTCTCGGCACAGGAACCCCAGGTCCAAAGGACAGACTCTGCTCCCAGCACTGCTTTCTTGGTGGTATGAGGTCCCCCCTCTCTGCTCACTTCCCTTTCCTTGTATCTCTTGTAAGATAAAAGGTGGTACAGGCCACACCCCAGGGAAACTCCCTTTACACTAGATCAGGGATGTGACCTGAGTAAGGGTGTTACAATCCCACCCTAATCCTCCTTAACATAAAATTACAATCACAAAATGGAAGACAACTACACAATACTGGGAATCATGGCCTAACCAAGTTGACACATATTTTTGGGGGACACAATTCAATCCATGACACCCAACCACACACACACCTCTGCCCTGGCAAACATTACAGAGATTTTTCTCACCAGATTAGTTTTGCCTGTTCTAGAACTTCATACAAACAGGCTCATACTGCATGTTCTTTTTTGTGTCTGGCTCCATTCTCACAGTGTAATGTTTTAGAGGTTCATCCCCTGGTTGCCTGTAACAGTAGTAGTTGTTGTTGCTGCTAAGTCAGTTCTGATTCATGGAAACCCCAGGTGTACAGAGGAGAACTGCTCCACAGGGTTTTCAAGGCTGTGACCTTTCAGAGGCAGATCACCAGCTTGTCTTTCAAGGTGCCCTTGGGTGGGTTCAAACCACCAACCTTCAGCTAGTAGTTGAGCAGTTAATCGATTAAGCACCCAGGGACGTATCAGTAGTTAGTTCCTTGTTATTGGTTAGTAGTATTTTCTTGAATGGATATACCACATTTAGTTCATTCATTCATTCTGTTGAAGATGTTTGTTTCCAGTTTTTGGCTGTTATGAATAAAGTTGCTGTAAACATTTATGTACGAGTCTTTTTGGGTAGAAATCTAGAAGTGGAATTATTGGGTTACAGGTTAGTTTATATGTTGAACTTTATGTTAAACTGCCAGACCAATTTTCAAAGTGGTTGTACCACTGTACGCTCCTCTCAGCAACACACGGGAGTTCTGCTTGCTCCACGTTCTCACCAGCATTTGGCATTGTCAGTATTTTTAATTTTGGCCAGCTTCTAGTGGGTGTGCAGTGATGCTGCATTACAATTTGCATATACCATCTAACAATATTGAGTACATTTTCATGTGGTTACTGGCCATTCATATTGGCATACTCATCATTCCTTTGTAAACTGCCTGTTCAAATCTTATACCCATTTTTAAATGGGGCTGACTTATTGAGCTGTAAGATCTGTTAGTATATTCTGGATACAAGTCCTCTGTCATAAGTTTTATGATTACTTTCTCCCAGTCTGTGGCTTACCTATTCATTTTCCTAATGACATCTTTTGATGAGCAGAAAATGTTTAAATTTTGATGAAGTTAATTTTTCTTATGGTTAGTGTTCTCTGGATCCAGCCAAAGGAATCTTTGCCTACCACAAAGTCACAAAAACACACAGTTTTCTTCTAGAAGCGTTACAGTTTTAGTGTATAAATCTGTGATCCATCTTGAATAAATGTGTGTGGGGGCATGGGTTGAAGTCAATTTTTTTTCCCATAATAAAAAGTTATTTTGGCATAGTTTGTTATACAGAGATTGTACTTTCCCAATAACTTGCTTTAAAAAAATCAACTGGTTGTATTAGCATAGGTTTATTTC